GCGCCCATGGAAAGCGGCCCGGGGCAGGCGAGGGTGAAAGAGCCCGGGCGGCGGTGAAAAAGGAGCGGACGGCGCTGCGGCAGCAGGCAGGAGCAAACGCCGGAGCCGGGAGCCAGCAGTCCGGGTAGAGGTGAGCCCGAGCCGGCCGCCGTGGGGGCAGAGAAGGGGAGGAGAAAAGGAAGGGAGACGCGGACGCGGAGGGGCGCTGGGCGCGCAAACCTGTTGGCGCCGCATCCTATGGGGAAGGGTCTCTGGCCTTTGTATCCCACGGAGTGGGGGGGGGGAACAAAGGGAGGGAAGGAAGGAGGGTCGGTTGGGGGGGCGGGGGGGGGGTCGGGGGGCCCTCCAACCAGAACAACCCCCCCCCCACACCTCCATATGCAAGAAGCCTGGGTAGGTGACTTTTCCCCCTTTTTGGAGAAACCCACCCGAGACCCCTTGGCGGAGGTTCCTCCACCCCTGAGCTTCACCCCCCCCCTCCTTTCTCAGCCTGCCTGCCTGCCTGACTTCTCCAAGCTGCTGCTGGCACCCCTCAGAAAGGTATCTGGATCCTTCTGGTTGGTCATTTAGGGAGTTGGGAGTCTAAGCTGGCACAGGGCAATAGGGTGGAGGGGGGGGAGACACCTGTCAGTGGGTCCCTCCTTCCCTGGGTTGCCTTCAGGGATCTGGAGAGAGATCTGATTGGGTTGCACTGGGAAGAAACTTCCTAAATCCAGCTTTTAGGATCCCCCATCTCAATCCGGGCCCTACTGTTCCATCAAGGAGACCTTTGAGAAACAAACGAACCCATTTATTAGATGGAGCCCAAGAGATCTGTACTGGTGGCCAAGGCAACTGACACACTGATTCTGCACAAGATTGATGAAATGGGGGGTGAAGAAACATCTATCCTCCTTTCTCTGCGTCTTTGGATAAGGATGGCAGAAGGACAACCAACCCAGGCACTTTTTCACATGTTCTACAGGACGGGGCAGGAGGAGCTCCAGAATTTAGATCAGAGTAACTCAACTTCAGGAATGTTTAAGAGGTGGGCTCCTTGGGGCTCTCTGAGCTTTGGTTGTTTTGTTGCAGACTTTTCATGACCCAGCTAGGGAACATCATCAGTGCTGAAAGGGAGTGGGGTTTGCAGGGGGGAGGGGGAGGAGGAAGAAGGAGAAGGAAGATTGTGGGATCTTTGATGCTCTCTGAGCTTGGTTGTTTTCTTGCAGACTTTTCATGGCCCAACTAGGTAATTTCATCAGTGACAGAAGGGAATGGGGTTTGCAAAGAAGAGGAGGAAGAGGAGAAGGAGGAGGAAAGGGAAAAGGAGGAGAAGGGAGGAAAAGGTTACGGAGAGAAGGGGAGAAAGAGGAGGAGGACAGGAGGAAGAAAAGGAGAGGAGGAGGAGGGGAGATAGAGGACTGGAGGGTCCTTGGTCCTCTCGGAGCTGGGTTGTTTCATGACCCAGCTAGGTAAAATCATTGGTGCTAGAAGTGAATAGGGTTTGTGGAGAGGAGGAAGAGGAGGAGGAGGAGGAGGAAGAGGAGGAGGAGGAGGAGGAGGAGGAGAAAGAAGAAGAAGAAGAAGAAGAAGAAGAAGAAGAAGAAGAAGAAGAAGGGCATTTATAGATCAAGAGGGAGGGGGAGGAAGAAGAGAAGGAGGAGAAGGAGAAGGAGAAGAAGGAGAAGGACAGTGGGATCCTTGGTCTTCTCTGAGCTTGGTTGTTTTTCTTGCTTTTCACGACCCAACTGGGTAACTTCATCAGTGATAGGAGGGAGCTGGGTTTGCAATGTGGAGGAGGAGGACGAGGAGGAGGAGGATGGGATCCTTGTTGGTGCTCTCCGAGCTTGGTTGTTTTTCTTGCAGATGCTTCATTACCCAACTCCATAACCTCATCATTGATAGAAGGGAGGGAGGTTTCAAGGGAAGCAGAGGAGGAGGAGGAGGAGAAGTGTGGGGTGCTTGGTGTTCTCTCATGTGTGTGTGTGTGTGTGTGTTTTTTTCTCACCGGCTAAAAAGAGTTAACATAAGGTTAATTAAGCACAACTTCACCCGCTAACAATACCAGCTGCAGGTCTTCCCAATAGCAGCTCAAACTTTAAAGAAAAGGATCTCTTTCCCAGAAAAGAGAACAACATCAAAGGACGCCTAGTCGGCTACAAAAAAAATAAAAAATAAAAAAAATGGAGTTTGAATTTTCAGCTGGATATACCTTGCCATATTTTCCCCCTGAGCAAGGGAGGGGAGAAGCCTGTTTGTTTTCCCCCTCTGCAGATAAAAAAAGAGGGCTGTGAAATAAGAGAATACGAATGCACTGCTCCCTATTGTCAGCCCCGAGAAATTAAGAACCGTGCTCAGATGTTATTCCAGGAAATCGGTCGAGCGCCGAGCTTATCAATGTGTGCAAATTTGCATGTAGGAAAAAAAAAAAAACGGAAGGGTTGGGCTGGTTACTGCTGGGGTCAGAGAAGGAAAATACGGTTCTTCCACAGTCAGATTCTGACTTTTGGACATCTGGTGGACTAGAATCTTGTTTAGACTCTTTTATTGTTGTTAGTTACGAAGTCGTGTCTGACTTATCGCGACCCCATGGACAACGTTCCTCTAGGCCTTCCTGTCCTCTACCATCCTCCGGAGTCCATTTAAGTTCACGCCGACTGCTTCCGTGACTCCATCCAGCCACCTCCTTCTCTGTCGTCCCTTTCTTCTTTTGCCCTCCATCGTTCCCAGCATTATTAGGCTCTTCTCCAGGGAGTCCTTCCTTCCTTCTCATTAGGTGGTCAAAGGATTTGAGTTTCAGATTCAGGATCTGGCCTTCTAAGAAGCAGTCGGGGTTGATCTCCTCTAGGACCGACTGGTTAGATCGTCTTGCAGTCCAAGGGACTCGCAGGAGTCTTCTCCGGCACCAGAGGCCTCAATTCTTTGGCGCTCACTCAGCCTTCCTTTGTTGTTGTTGTTAGTTGCGAGGTCATGTCCGACCCATCGCGACCCCGTGGACAACGTTCCTCCAGGCCTTCCTGTCCTCTACCATCCTCTGGAGTCCATTTAAGCACCAGAGTTCAAGGGCCTCCATTCTTTGGCCTTCTCAGCCTTCCTTATGGTCCAACTTTCCCAGCCATCCATTGCAACTGGGAAAACCAGTTAGACGCTTTGGCGGTTAACAAAAAGAGGTAAAATCCGGCTAGGAGGTGTTGCTTCTGAAGACACATTTCCAGGGCAAGTATAAGTTTGGCCAGGAATAGCAAGGAAGATTTTTTTAAAAAATGGGAGAAAGCAAAATACAGGAAGTCCTAGACTGACGACCGCAATTGAGCCCAAAATTTCTGCCACTAAGTGAGACAGTTGTTAAGGGAGGTTGGTTAAGAGAATTTTGAATTCTATTCTATTCTATTAATTCCCCATTCAATACAATCATGACTAAGAACTCTGGGAGTTGAAGTCTAGAACATGTTGAGATTGGAGAAGACCAGTTTAAGTAATCCCATTCAGGCAAAATTCCAATTATTGAATGCTTGAATGGAAGAATTGATTTGATAACGGATGGAGGTTTTGAAGTCTCTTGTGTCCTACAGGAACCATCCTTCTCTGGTGCTTTGAACTTCCAATAGCTGAAAGATTATTAACTTCACCCAGGAATACTTGCCTTCAAAAAGTATTTCAGAATAAGTGTGCAATTCTGATGACCCACCAAGACATGCATGGAGATGGGGTTCTTTTCTTCCAACGTCTAGGTCAACAGCCATGGGTTCCGTGGGAGGAAACCACCACGTCAAGGAGGGAAGTCCAGTGGTGACACCTGAAGGGAACATCGTGATGAGCTTTAGTTTTGACAGCTACCAGCTGGAAGAAGAAGAGCTGCAGGAGAAGACAGGTCATACCAAAGGAGTCCTCACGTTCATGGAACCAGGTAAGAGTTGAAGAGATGGCTTGGGACCTCTCCAGATGTAGCTCCCATGGAGAATAGTGCTTTTTTGAGATAGCAACTAAACGTCCTTCGATGTTTTTATGTTTTGTGGTTCTCTTCTCTTACATGGCCATCTATCCCGACCTGAAGGACCTATGGATGGACTCAGTGGTGGAATTCAATTATTTTATTACTGGTTCTGTGGGTATGCCTTGGTGGGCATCGTGTGGGTTGGTGGCCATGGCTTGGTAGGCGTGGCAAGGAAAGGATACTGCAAAATCTCCATTCCCACCCCACTCCTGGGGGAAGGATACTGCAAAATCCCCATTCCCTCCCCACTCCAGGGGAAGGATACTGCAAAAATCTCCATTCCCACTCCACTCCAGGGGAAGGATATTGCAAAATCCCCATTCCCACCCCACTCTGGGGCCAGCCAGAAGTGGTATTTGCTAGTTCTCCAAACTACTCAAAATTTCCGCTACCAGTTCTCCAGAACCTGTCAGAACCTGCTGGATTTCACCCCTGGATGGACTTCTGTTTGGGTTTCCAGGGTGATTCTCATTCAACCTGGCTTCCATGTTCATAAAGTTCTCTTATTGACCATTGAGCTTCTCACGTTCAATCAGTGGTGGGTTCCTCCCGGTTTGGTCCGGTTCGGCCGAGCCGGTAGCGGTGACAATATGACGTCACCGAACCAGTTCTCCCCCCCCCGCCCTCCCACGTTATTCTTACCTTTTATTTGGTCCCACCCCCAATCTATTGCTGCCTCCTGAGTCCCAGCTGATGACTAGAGGGGAAAAAAAACTGTTTAAACTCTTGCCGGGGGGCTTCAAAGGGCCGCCCTACAGCTGATCAGTGTTAAAAGCAAACAAATGAGTCGGGTCGTAAGTGCGAGGACTGCTCGTAAGTGCGAGGACCTTCCAGAAATGACTCTGACCAGCTAGCCACGCCCACCTAGTCACATGACCTCCAAGCCACACCCACAAAATAAGCCACGCCCACAGAACCGGTAGTAAAAAAAATTAGAACCCACCCCTGCGTTCAATGGATGGTTTGGATCTCTTCTAGTTTGTTCTGGGGAAATCCTTTTCCTTTTCTTTTTCCGCTTGCCTTTGGTTAGAGCTCTAGCGACGGTTGGGATGAAGGGTTTGAAAATCATAGGGTTGCATTGACCGGCGATGTTTGTGAACCTGGTTTTCAGTTCTTTGGATTTGAGGAGTGAATCCTGAGCTTTGTGACCAATCCTCAAACTGACTCCGAAAGTGAAGGAGAGGAGTTGGCAAGGCCTCCCTCTCCAGGACCCTCCTCTCTGGCAATGCCTCAGGTGTCTTCCGAAGGAGAAGAGATAGGCCAGGAGCCAGGCACTTCCGAGCAGCTGCAGTTAGACAGCGACGGAGATAAGTCTTGGCTGGATCCCCGACAGCGTCGGAAAGACAAGCGCACGCAGCAGAGAAGGAGGCGTGCCAGAGATTAAGCTGAGTCACTGGACCACACCCCACAGGGGATAAAAGGGGGTGTGGTGGCCATTCAGGCTTTGTGACGGACAAAACGGAAAGCTAGCAAGTCATTCTGCATTTCTGGAACTTTGTTATATGCTCTGCTTGGATTGATTTTTTTTGGACTGGACTTGATTATTCTTTGGCTTTTGTGGACTTTGATGTTTTCGGTCGAAGGAGATAAACCTCCCTTTGTAAGTAAAGACTGTTGGCAAGCAGCCACTGGGTTGCTGCCAATTCTGTTATCAGAGGAAATTCTTGTCTGCTGGTTTATTTTAACTCTTGGTCGACTGCTGGTGTGCGTGTGTGAGACGGGGACAGAACATGCTGCAATGCATAGCCAGAACTGAGAATCGTGAGCCAAAACCCCTAAGTTCAACTTTTTCTTCCCTGAACTGCCTCCCATCATTGACCGTCCCACTCCATGACCAATCAGGTTCAAGCAAGATGTTTTCAAAATGGTCACTTCAAGCATAGGTTGGTAGGCAGCTGCCTTCTTCTCCCAGCCGGGTGACCTTGAGGCAGCTTCTCAGGGAGATACAGCAGTTACTTTCGCTTTCCCCCAAACATTCCCCCTCTTCATCCTCACCTCCCCAGAGTTCATGGCAGACTGCATGGTAGTGAAGCACAAGTAAGCATAAAGTGGCAGCTGACACTTAGTTTCACTTAGCGACCGCTTTGTTTAACTTGTTACTTTTCTGTCTTTTTTTCTGGGCTTAGTCTGTGAAAACCCTGATCCTCAAGATCGTTACCATGGAATCTACTTTGCCATGCTTCTAGCGGGTGTTGGTTTTCTTTTGCCTTACAACAGCTTTATCACAGATGTTGATTACCTTCATCACAAATACCCAGGTAGGTGTCTTTTTTTTCCCTATTCCAAAGTTCTCCGAAACTTTTGAAAGTCTTTTGTGGAATAAATAAATAAATATGACAAGATAAATTTATTATTGAATTATTGAGAAAGCATCTTGCTCTTTTTCCTCTTCATATGTTTCCAGTTTTTGTTGAACCTGCCCAAAGAACACCAAAAATCTTCACTGCATACTTTTCCTTCCCTTCTTATTTTTTTTAAAATTAAATTTATATGCCTACCTCTGTTCCTCCTTTTTTTTTCATCCACCAAGCCGGATTGTGAATTTTCTTGGTTTTGGTTTAGCGTTGTGTGCAGGGGTGAAATGCTCCCGGTTCGGACCGGTTCGGACCGGATTGCCCAATCCGGTAGCAATGGCGGAGGGTGGTTCAGAGAACCGGTAGCAAAAACCCCTGCAACCCCCCCCCCCCCCCATGCCCAGCTGAGCCTCTACGGCCGAAAAAATGCTTTTAAAAGTAAAAAAGTAAAAAAAAAAAAGCCTCTGATGATCGTGCAGCTCAACTGCGATCGTCAGAGGCTTTTAAAAGCATTTTTTTCCTGCAACCTCTTCGGCCGAAAAGGTGGTAGAAAAAAAATGCCTTTAAAAACCTCTGACGATCCCAGCTGAGTTGCCTGATCGTCAGAGGCTTTTAAAAGCATTTTTTTTCCTGCAACCTCTTAAGGTTGTAGAAAAAATGCTTTTAAAAGTTTTTTTTTAAAAAAAAAGTTGGCCACACCCACCCAGTCACATTACCCCCACCCCACCACCAAGCCACACCCACAGAACCGGTACTAACAAATTTTACATTTCACCACTGGTCTTGTGTGAACTCAATCAATTCAGCAACACCTTTGTGAAGCAAGGCCCCGGGTTAACATGGCCAAAATTTTGTGTCTTTCTGCAGGGACTTCGATTGTGTTTGACATGAGCCTGACCTACATTTTAGTAGCCTTGGTTGCGGTCCTTCTCAACAACGTCCTGGTCGAAATGCTGAGTCTTCACACCAGGATCACTGTGGGTATGTTCAGAATCTTTTTGTCTTCTCCATCTCACTTCTTGGTTTCTGCTCTTCACCAGGGAAGTTGTAGCCAGGGTTAGAACCTTCTGTATGTCTTCTCTTCTCCATGTCTTCCTCCAAAGTTTCAGTCAGAAGTTCAAGAAGGAAGCCTTAGAGATGTTACCTGAATATTAAAGGTAAAGGTGAAGGTTCCCCTTGCGCATATGTGCTAGTTGTTCCCGACTCTAGGGGGCGGTGCTCATCTCTGTTTCAAAGCCGAAGAGCCAGCGCTGTCCGAAGACGTCTCCGTGGTCACGTGGCTGGCATGACTCAATGCCAAAGGTGCACGGAACGCTGTTACCTTCCCACCAAAGGTGGTCCCTATTTTTCTACTTGCATTTTTTACTTGCTTTCGAACTGCTAGGTTGGTAGAAGCTGGGACAAGTAACGGGAGCTCACCCCGTTTACGCGGCACTAGGGATTCGAACTGCTGAACTGCTGACTTTTTGATCGACAAGCTCAGTGTCTTAGTCACTGAGCCACCATGTCCCTATGACCTGAATATATATATATATATATAATATATATAACCTGAATATTTCTTGCTCTCAACGATCTCCATGCTGGAGAATTTATATGCCGGAAGTTAAACATCTGGCATTTGTAGCATCCTTGTCTTTATTTCATGGCATGCTTCTTTTGTTCATTTCAGGGTATCTCTTTGCTTTGGGTCCTCTTCTCTTTGTGAGCATGTGTGATGTCTGGCTTGATCTCTTCTCCCAGCACCAAGCTTATGCGGTCAATCTTATGGCGGTAGGCGTGGTGGCCTTTGGTTGCACAGGTATGTGTGGGAATGGGAGCGGGAAACTTTCCCAGCCAGTCTAGGAACAAGGGTGTCCTTGGTTGACATTCATGAACGACGTTGTCATTGTTGACCAAAAAGGAGTCAGGAAGGTGGTGGAGAAGAAGTCCCTTATGATAGATGACATCTAATAAATCGAAATCTAGAATAGAATAGAATAACAAAGTTGGAAGGGACCTTGGAGGTCTTCTAGTCCAACCCCCTGCTTAGAAGGGAAACCTTACACCACTTCAGACAAATGGTTGTCTAATCTCTTCTTAAAAATTTCCAATGATGGAGCACCTACAACTTCTGGAGGCAAGTTGTTCCACTGATTGTTCTCACTGTCAGGAAATTTCTCCTTAATTCTAAGTTGCTTCTCTCCTTGATTAGTTTCCACCCGTTGCTTCTTGTCCCGCCCTCAGGTGCTTTGGAGAATAGCTTGCCTCCCTCTTCTTTGTGGCAGCCCCTGAGATGTTGGAAGACTGCTATCATGTCTCCCCTGGTCCTTCTTTTCATTAAACTAGACATACCCAGTTCCTCCAACCGTTCTTCCTATGTTTTAGCCTCCAGTCCCCTAATCGTCTTGGTTGCTCTTCTCTGCACTCTTTCTAGAGTCCACATCTTTTTTTTTACATCGTGGCGACCAAAACTGGATGCAGGATTCCAAGTGTGGCCTTACCAAGGCCTTATAAAGTGGTCTTAACACTTCACGTGATCTCGATTCTTTCCCTCTGTTGATGCAGCCTAGAACTGTGTTGGATTTTTGGCAGCTGCTGACTCATATTTAAATCTAGTACTTAGACGTCGTAACTCTCCTTCTCTCTTGCTTGCTGAAGTCTCTCTCCCCTTTTAAGTGCAGCAATCCAGTTTCTATGGTTACACCGGGATGCTGCCGAAGCGGTACACTCAAGGAGTGATGACGGGAGAAAGTGAGTATTAGCTTAATACTTTTCACTGAAGTCTGAAGGAGAGGTAGCAAGAGATCTGCCTCTTCAATAATTCATTCTCTCGTTTCTGGCACTTAAAAATAGGGGCATTCATGATTCATCCCATTGTCCCAAAGGTGTTTTTTTTTTTTTCAACAGGCAACTGGACTTTCTGGTTTTTCTCTGGAGATGTTTCGTTTCTCATCCAATAAGGTTCTGGAGAGCTTCAGAGATGAAGAAGCTTCTTGGATGAGAAGCAAAATGTCGTCAATGAAAAACCAGGAACTCACACCCATAATTCTATGCGCCCTGCCCCCGCACATGTGTGCGTGACCCCCCGCTCCTGGCACGTGATGGGATGGTAGGCCCATTTTGCCTCCAGAGTCTTTCTAGGAGTCTGGGGAGGGCGAAAACGGCTTTCCCCACCCCCCTGGAGGCCTCCGGAGGCCAAAAATAGCCCGTTTGCCAACTTCTGGTCCCACCAGAGGCCCTCCAGAGGCCAGAAACGGCCCATTTGCCAACTTCTGGTGGGACTGGAAGGCCCGTTTCCCCCCCCCATCCTCCAGAGCCTTTCTAGGAGTCTGGGGAGGGCGAAAATGGCCTTCCTCACCCCCCTAGAGGCCTCCGGAGGCCGAAAATGGCCCGTTTGCCAACTTCTGGTCCCACCAGAAGTTGGCAAATGGGCCGTTTCCAGCCTCCCGGGGGGGGGAGGCCGTTTTCACCCTCCCCAGACTCCTAGAAAGGCTCTGGAGGCTGAGGGGAGAGAAAAATGGGCCTTCCTCACCCCCACCCCGAGGTCCTCCGGAGGCAGGAAACAGCCTGTTTCCCTACTTCTGGTGGGCCCAGAAGGCCCAAAAATCAGCTGGCGAGTTCGTGCATGCGTGCCAGAACTGAGCTTGCGTGCCCACCAATATGGCTACGCGTGCCACCTGTGGCACGCGTGCCATAGATTCGCCATCACGGCTCTATACAATCCCCCTCCCATTTTCCCACAGTAGAATTTATGGCAGGCCTGAAGCCTGAAGGCTCAAAGGTAGAAAGATGGCTTCCAGGTCTGACTCAAAGCCTTCCCAAACTCTACTAATGCCATTGTCCATGTAGTGGTCTTGGCGCTAAGACCCAAACTCAACTCCATCTCTTCCTTCCAGGCACTGCCGGAGTCATCATCTCCTTGAGTCGCATCTTCACCAAGCTTCTTCTGTCTGATGAGAAGGAGAACACCATGATCTTCTTTTGCATCTCCATTATACTGGAGCTCTCTTGCTTTGTCCTCCACCTCGTGGTGAAACAAACCTACTTTGTGAGGTATTACACCTCCCGATCCCAGGCCGGGGCCTCTGAGTTGAAAGGGCCGATGGACAACGGCATCAGATACAGAGTCCACCATGACGTCACAGCAGAAGACATCCGATTTGTAAGTTGTAGCCAGAAATGATCTGTGCTCTTTCTTGAGTTTTTGCATTTTTTGAGACAGTTTTCACTAACCTCCTGGGTATCTTTCTGGAAATATTAGGGTTATAGTTTTGAGAATTGGCTCCTTACTCGACATATTGGGAAGATGGATATAAAGTAGTATGAATCGAAATAGCTTATATGCCCCTCCAAGATCACATTGATCAAATATGACAGCAAAAGTAACATAATATTCCTTTCTTTTCTCTTTTCCTTCTTTCCTTCCTCCCTCCCTCCCTCTCCTTGCTTTCCTTCCTTGCTTTCCTTCCTTCCTTTCCTTCCTTCCTTTCCTTCCTTCCTCCCTTCTTTTCCTTGCTTTCTTTTCTCTTTTCCTTCCTTCTCTTTTTCCTCCCTCCCTCCCTCCCTCCCTTCCTTCATCACTGCTGGAAAACCTCACTATCCCCAGCATCACCTTTAACAATAAAACATAAACCAAGATGCAATTGCACAAATATTGAAAAGTAAGCCTACATAGATTGTAAATCTGGTATCCTCCCTCCCTCCCTCCCTTCCTTCATCCCTCCCTCCCTCCCCCTTCCTTCCTTGCTTCAACCCTCCCTCCCTCCTTCCTTCCTCCTTCCTTCCTTCCTTCCTTCCTTCCTTTATCCCTCCCTCCCTCCTTTCCTTCCTTCATCCCTCTCTCCCTCCTTCCTTCCTTCAACCCTCCCTCCCTCCTTCAACCCTCCCTCCCTCCTTCCTTCCTTCCTTCCTCCCTCCCTCCCTCCCTCCTTCCTTCCTTCATCCCTCCCTCCCTCCTTCCTTCCTTCAACCCTCCCTCCCTCATTCCTTCATCCCTCCCTCCCTCCCTTCCTTCCTTCATCCCTCCCTCCCTCCCCCTCTCCCTCCTTCCTTCCTTCAACCCTCCCTCCCTCCCCCTCTCCCTCCTTCCTTCCTTCAACCCTCCCTCCCTCCCTACTTCCTTCCTTCAACCTTCCTTCCTTCCTTCCTTCCTTCCTCCCTTCCTTCCTTCCTTCCTTCCTTCCTTCCTTCCTTCCTTCCTTCCTTCCTTCCTTCCTTCCTTCCTTCCTCACTGCTCACCACTCCCAGCATCACCATTAACATAAACCAACATGCAATTGCACAAATATTGAAAAGTAAGCCTACGTAAAGATTGTAAACCCAGGATCTAAGGATTGGTTGAAGGAGAGAAATGGTGACCTCTCCTGGTGGACGAAGTTAATTCAAATGAGATCACAGGGACAGAAAGTCCACCTTCAAAGTGGCAGGGAAGATGAAGATACATTAGATGCGATCAGAGGGCTTTAGAGTTCTTTTGGGGGATTTCGGCCTCCCCTTTTTGCACAAGAGATGGTTCTCCGAGGAATGAATAATCAAAAGAACTACCAGTTTTGTGTCTTGGTTAAAACGTTGAGTGCAATTAAGGAGATGTAGATTCAAATCCACTTTCAGCTGCTGGTTCTTCTTTCTGCTCATCTCATCTCACAAGGTTGGGTTGTAGAAAAAAAAATGAGAAGCCACGTATATCATTTGAGCTCCCAGATATATAAGTGAATGATTGGATGGATGGATGGATGGATGGATGGATGGATGGATGGATGGATGGATGGAATGGATGGAATGGAAAGGATGGAATGAATGAATGAATGAATGAATGAATGAATGAATGAGTGAGTGAGTGAGTGAATGAATGAATGAATGAATGATGAGTCTATCTGTGCCAGGAGAGATTCACACTGTTGTGCCCCCGCCCCCCCCCCAAGCGGCCAGCAGAGCTGGCAGCAGAGTCAGACAGTGAGGAGGTTGGGGAGGAACGTGGGCCAGTCCTGGAGTCTGGGGAAGGCTTGGACGAGGGCTCTGAGTCGGAGGCAGAGAGGGGGCCAAGGCCATTTGATAGTTCTTTGCTGGCTCTGGAGTCTCTGGAGTCTGACATCAGCGAGGCAGAAGAACAGTGTTAGCTTGTTCCTAGAGCTGCCAGAAGACAGGAACAATTAAGAAAACAGGGTCAACTTGGGAGTAAGGCTTGGAGATGATCAGCCCCTCCCCTAAGACATAAAAGAGAAGGGAACGGGACGTGAGCAGGAATCAATTAGTTCATCTGGTCAGTTAAAGCTCTGCTTGACTCTGTGCTAAGTTTGGCCTTGCCCTGAGTGTAGCAATTAGTTCTCTGGCAGCATTCCAAGGGAGATAAGGTGGGTGTTTGTAAACACTCCCCTGAAAGACTGTTTGAGAAGCCTTTCGGACTGGGAATGACAATAATTCACAGCCGTATGAATTAAAGAGGTTTGCCAGGACTAAGATTGTGCTGTATACTTTCTAAGGAAGCCTGGGTCAGAACACACTCAGAATTGGCATGTTGGCTAAAATGATTGTAGAGATCCTCCATGTTAAAAGCAGTGTACCTCCAACTATTACATCATCGTCATCATCATTGCAACCTCCTCCTCATCCATTGAGCTGTGCTGGGGGTTCTTGCCAGTTGACGTTGGTGGTTGCTATTTCTCTGTCCTTTCGCTCCAAGGAGAATCGGCTGCCCAGACAAAATGCGTCTCCTCCCGACACCTTTGGAGATGCAGATGAGCTGGCTGCAAGTGGCACCTACGTTAGATTTGACGTCCCTCAACCTGAAATAAAAAGGAGTTGGCCAAGCTTCAGAGGTAACTATAGCAGAGCCTCAAGAGGGGAAAGGCCAAAGGTTGATGATGGTTTTTAAAAGCTTGTTTTTGTACATTTGGTCCTTTTTTTTTTTTACAATTGCTTTTTTTAGGGGCAGGAAAGGAGGAAAAGAGGGAGGGAGGGAGGGAGGGAGGGAGGAAGGAAAGGAAGGAAGGAAGGAAGGAAGGAAGGAAGGAAGGAAGGAAGGAAGGAATGAAAAAGAGGAATGAAATACATTTAGGATTTAATCCTTAATATATTTAGATTTTGTAAGCTGCCTAGCTTTTGTTAGAGTTGGCAGCTATAATAAGTTTAATTCAATAAATGAATTTAAAAAATGTGAACACACCAGATTTATTAAAGTGGTTGTAGGGTATGTTTTATCATGTGCTATATTTTACATTCATTGATTACCCTTGTGTTTTAAACCTTGATATCATTTGGTGAGAGTTAATGCAACATTCTTTTTCTCTTCTCTGAGATTGATAATTATTTTTGAAATTTCTATATGTTATTTGAATATTCTTATATGCATGTTTAGAGAACCAAAGATATTTAGCCAATGCATACATAATATAACCTGTAATATAAATTTTCCACTGTAAATTCATATTTTGTATTCTCATTTTCCATTTTTGCATAGTGAAGTAAAGCTGACAGTTGCTTCGTTTCTCTCAGATCGAATAGTAGATGAAATCCTTGATGCTCTGTCTCATTGTCATCATAAACTGGTATGCATTTATACAATCTCATATATTTAAGTTGATTTTACAGTTTGATTTGATTTTACAGTATGATTTGCTTGTTTCAGTGCATTCATCTGCTCTATTCAACAAGAAATGCCTATATAGATCTATCTGTATCTTTCTATTTACACCAAATGAGATAGCTACATTGAATGTGATAACATAGGAAGGTGAATCCTATGAAAAATTAGTTTATTTTGATGTCAAACTGAATGTTACTTTAATATTTCCTGAAAAAATTTACTAGGTTATTGGTAAAAGCTAAACATAGTCAACTTTACATGTTGGATTTCAGAAAAACTGATCTTAATAAAAAATGCAAACTTGCTAACATAGAAGGCAAGTTAAGAAGAGCATATTTCTGGGTAGCTAATCTCATTATTTATTTATTTATTTATTGGTTCGATTTATATGCCGCCCTTCTTCGGAGACTCAGGGCAGCTTACAATGCGTTAAGCAATAGCCTTCATACTTTTGTATATATCTGCTTATATCTAGTAGGGCTTTCGGGGGCCCCCTAAGCGGTGTTCTTTTTTATACAAAGTCAGCTTATTGCCCCCACAAACGGGGTCCTCATTTTACCTACCTCGAAAGGATGGAAGGCTGGGTCAATCTTGAGCCTGGTGAGATTTGAACTTGCAGTAATTGCAGGCAACTGGTGTTACTTAACAGCACTTTAGTCTGCTGTGCTACCAAGGCTCTCTAAATTTATACTTTATTTAAAGCATAAATAAATAAAATGTACAACCATAGCACGGGATAAAATGTAATATTAATGCACATGAAAAAGATCTTAGAATCCTAATTGAATTGTAAGCAGTGCAAGAATTAACCATTGTAGTATATTATAAAAATATGTTAATACAATTTTAGGCTGAATTACTAGAAGAAGGGTTTCTAAATGCTAGGAATTAATAGTTTTATACTTGTCATTTTGGATTACATACTTTAGAAAAGATGACTATATATCCAACATGCAGGTAATAAGGAGATAAGTTGTACAAAAAAAATTATGAAGAAGTTGATGAATTACAAAAAAGTTTGAGTTTAGGATATAAACATTTTTAGGATATAAGTATAAGATAGGTACTGAACATCTGTAACATGGTCCTGTTTTAAACTTGTTTCAGAGAGCTGAGAAGATAGGATTGGATCTAAGGGTTTAAGTTACATGAGCCTGGGTTCAAATGGGAAATGCTTCTTGTAAAGAACATTATGACAGTGAGGGTATATGCAATTTATCTGCTTTGGGCTATAGGGCCATGTTATGAAAGTGGGTGCTTTAGTTCGCGTTTTTTTGTAGGGTTTTTTTTTTTTTTTAGATTTGAGGATGTGTCTGTGTTTGTGTAACATAAGCGTTAGTCAGTTGTATCTAAACTGTAAAATAATTATTTAGTAGATATATTCTGCTAACTCAATGTAAATGATTCCTTTCAATTTATCGCTGGTCAAATGATCAGTCCAAAGGAAAAGGTTGAGCAAGCATTTTTTAAAAATAAAAATAACGAAAATTAGTTTATCGAAAAGTTTTAACTTTAAAAAAAAAATTTTTTTATTTTAACTTATAAGGTACAATTAATTAATTTTAAAAAATAAAATTGGCTTTTAAAAAAAGCATCTTGTTGGATGCTTTGGAATTCAGAATTAGAGTTATTTGCAAAACAGGGCTGTTCAATGGCCTCTAGCAAAGCAGAGAAATTGCCATAAACCATCACTGTCATATTGTTCTTACAAGAAGCATTTCCCATTTGAACCCAGGGCTCATGTAACTTAAACCCATTAGATCCAATCCTATCTTCTCAGCTCTCTGGAAACAAGTTTAAAACAGGTCCATGTTACAGATGTTCAGGTACCTATCCTTATACTTATATCCTAAAAATGTTTATATCCTAAACTCAAACTTTTTTGTAATTCATCAACTTCTTCATAATTTTTTTTTGTACAACTTATCTCCTTATTACCTGCATGTTGGATATATAGTCATCTTTTCTAAAGTATGTAATCCAAAATGACAAGTATAAAACTATTATTTCCTAGCATTTAGAAACCCTTCTTCTAGTAATTCAGCCTAAAATTGTATTAACATATTTTTATATATACTACAATGGTTAATTCTTGCACTGCTTACAATTCAATTAGGATTCTAGATCTTTTTCATGTGCATTAATATTACATTTTATCCCGTGCTATGGTTGTACATTTTATTTATTTATGCTTTAAATAAAGTATAAATTTAGAGAGCCTTGGTAGCACAGCAGACTAAAGTGCTGTTAAGTAACACCAGTTGCCTGCAATTACTGCAAGTTCAAATCTCACCAGGCTCAAGATTGACCCAGCCTTCCATCCTTTCGAGGTAGGTAAAATGAGGACCCGGTTTGTGGGGGCAATAAGCTGACTTTGTATAAAAAAGAACACCGCTTAGGGGGCCCCCGAAAGCCCTACTAGATATAAGCAGATATATACAAAAGTATGAAGGCTATTGCTTAACGCATTGTAAGCTGCCCTGAGTCTCCGAAGAAGGGCGGCATATAAATCGAACCAATAAATAAATAAATAAATAATGAGATTAGCTACCCAGAAATATGCTCTTCTTAACTTGCCTTCTATGTTAGCAAGTTTGCATTTTTTATTAAGATCAGTTTTTCTGAAATCCAACATGTAAAGTTGACTATGTTTAGCTTTTACCAATAACCTAGTAAATTTTTCAGGAAATATTAAAGTAACATTCAGTTTGACATCAAAATAAACTAATTTTTCATAGGATTCACCTTCCTATGTTATCACATTCAATGTAGCTATCTCATTTGGTGTAAATAGAAAGATACAGATAGATCTATATAGGCATTCTTGTTGAATAGAGCAGATGAATGCACTGAAACAAGCAAATCATACTGTAAAATCAAATCAAACTGTAAAATCAACTTAAATATATGAGATTGTATAAATGCATACCAGTTTATGATGACAATGAGACAGAGCATCAAGGATTTCATCTACTATTCGATCTGAGAGAAACGAAGCAACTGTCAGCTTTACTTCACTATGCAAAAATGGAAAATGAGAATACAAAATATGAATTTACAGTGGAAAATTTATATTACAGGTTATATTATGTATGCATTGGCTAAATATCTTTGGTTCTCTAAACATGCATATAAGAATATTCAAATAACATATAGAAATTTCAAAAATAATTATCAATCTCAGAGAAGAGAAAAAGAATGTTGCATTAACTCTCACCAAATGATATCAAGGTTTAAAACACAAGGGTAATCAATGAATGTAAAATATAGCACATGATAAAACATACCCTACAACCACTTTAATAAATCTGGTGTGTTCACATTTTTTAATTCATTTATTGAATTAAACTTATTATAGCTGCCAACTCTAACAAAAGCTAGGCAGCTTACAAAATCTAAATATATTAAGGATTAAATCCTAAATGTATTTCATTCCTCTTTTTCATAGTCATTTATTTGTACAGGAAAATGTTTTACTGCTTCATTATTATCACTCATTATTTTATGATTGCATATTATTTTACTAAATAATGAGCAAACAACCTAAACTGAATTACTTGCATTTACATCAGCAATAGCATAAGTACTTCATTTTCTTGGTGAGATTCCAAGACTATTAAATTGGGGGGTGGGGGGAGACACAGTTATCCATTTGTTTTAATAGTAGTATTTAAATGAACAAAATGCCACACTATGACCACAAATGGTACAAATACATGCAATTTACCCAGAATTAATTATAACAACCTCTTGTTAATAATTGGAACAAGTGTTGTTTATAATTAAACTCTCATGAATCCAGTTTGACTCTTAGTGAGTAGTGAAAATATTTATTTATTTTTTGTTCATTTCTTGTGCTATCATCACGTCACTATTACACCTCTCATGACCTTCAGTACTTTTTTAAAAAATCATAATTAAAAAATAAAATTATAAGCTGAACCAGAAAAAAAGCTTTTTCTTGCCTGAAAGTAAAGTCGGAAACAGTTTTAAAGTTTAGGATTGTTATATTAAGGTAATTGTTCCAGGAAGAAGTAGTTTTTTTAAACAAATTAAGTTATACACTCAGTCCATAGATGAATCTAGAAAGTAGTTTGGCTCACCTAATTTTATTAAGGATATCCACTCCAGACTGCTCCAAGAGAACATTTTTAACAAAGGTCCGAGGAATGGAAATTTTTTCAGTACATGCTTCAATCAAGTCTTGCCTTATATGTGCTTTCTTCATTGCACTTGGACACAGGTTTTCAGCTGCATCTACCATTGACTCAAGTAATGTCTGCAACAGAAAGCAATGGGAAGCAAATTTTTTTTAAAAAAAAAATACAGGAACCACAGAAGCATGTGAGAGGGCAGCGGTTGTTTGTCATCTTATATCCTACCTGGTGTGCTGTGAGGGGGCACCTGAGTGGGGGAGGGGGGTGTTCCCCGAGGAATGGTGTGGTCTGGACCTGTTTTAACATCGTTTGCCCATGGTTGCCGTGCCCCTACCTATGGCTGAAGATGGTCACGCGATTTTATATAAGAACGTATTTATGCGCTTTAAGGAATGCCCCCCATTCCTGGAAGTGGCCTACCGGCCTTGCCAAGAAATACCTCAAGGATGGGTCCTGGAACCTGAGAGGTGGCACGAGGGCGTTGGGATTTTTAAAAGTTCGTTATACTCTTTTTAAATTCGTCTTTTAAGGGGTGGGAGGGTGTTTTGTATACGACCAGGACGGGATTGGGGGGCAACCCACCAGGGTCGGGTCCAGCAGGGGGCTACGACTTTGGGGGTGTGGGGTTGGAGGTCAGGGAGGGGGCTAGACTCCATACTGGTGAGGGCTGTTCCATCGGTACTGTGGGTGGGAGGGGCAGATATGGTGGGAGCAGGGGGCCATATCGTCTTGTGAGAGTGCACACTCGCTATCTTCGAGCGATCGCGTGCTCCGGCCCCCAATGCTCTTCTCGTTCCCTGGGTTGCTCAAACCCTCAGGGCCCAGGCCTTTGGTTGATGTTGTGCAACACCAGGTCCGTTGTAAATAAAGCCCCCCTCATTTGTGATCTTGTGCAGGAGCGGGGTGCGGACCTGGTGGGTATTACGGAGACCTGGTCGGGTCGGGGGGATGTTCCCCTCGTTGAACTGTGCCCACCAGGTTTCTGCGCATTCCATCGGCCGAGGGCTCAGGGAAGGGGTGGGGGGGTTGTTATTAAGGAAGGTCTTTGTCCAAGGGAGGCCACTGTACCTCAGATAGCCGGATGTGAGTCCCTCCTTGTGAAGTGGGGTTGTGGGGTGCAGATGGGCCTGCTGATTGCGTACCTGGCTCCCTGCCATGTGGCAGCGGCCCTGCCCGAGCTGCTCAACATAATAGCCAGGGTGGCGGTTGATACCCCCAGATTTATGGTCATGGGGGATTTCAATCTGCCATCTGTCGGTGAAACATCAGAGGCAGCTCAGGAGTTCATGGCTTCCATGACGGCCATGGACCTGACCCAGTTAGTTCATGGCCCTACCCACACGGGGGGGGCACACTCTGGACTTGTGTTTTGTCTCAGGTCAGTGGTTGAATGATCTAGAAATAGGGGATATAGTTATTGAACCCTTGCCATGGTCAGATCACTCCTTCCTTCGACTCGACTTTCATACTGCTACACTTCGCCGCAGGGAGGCGGAACCGACAAGGTAGTTCTGTCCCAGGCGCCTGATGGATCCGAATAGGTTCCAGATGGAGCTTGGGCCATTCCCTGAGGCTCTGGCTCACAACTCAACTGAAGACCTGGTGGCCGCCTGGGATAGGGCGGCTGCTGGAGCTTTGGATCGCATTGTGCCTTTGCAGCCTCTGACCCGGTGCCGATTCCGTTTGGCTCCCTGGTTTTCCAAGGAGCTGAGGGAGATGAAGCGCCAGAAAAAACACCTGGAGAGCGATTGAAGGGCCAGCTGTTCCGAATCTGACCGGACACTGGTGAGGTCATATATTAAGACCTATCTAGTGGCGATAAGAGCAGCAAAATCGAACTATTTTTCCGCTCTTATTGCGTCTGCAGATGTGCCAGCCGCCCTGTTTAGGGTGACCCGCTCCCTCCTTCATCTGGGAGCGTGGGAAGACCCCTTGCAGGGTAGGGCTGAGGATTTTGTACAATATCTGCATGACAAAATCGCTCAGATTCGGGAAGGCTTGGACTCTGATTGGGTGGGTTCGGGCGGGGTGATGGAGGCAGATCTTGACAGTGTTATCTGGGAGGAGTTTGACCCGGTGACTCCCGAGGATGTGGACAGGATTCTGGGTAGGCTCAGCATTGCCACATGTTTATTGGACCCGTGTCCCTCCTGGTTGGTGCTGGCCTCCCGGGAGGTGACACGAGGCTGCCTCCAGAAAATTATTAACGCTTCTTTATGTGAGGGTTTCTTTCCTTCCGCCTTGAAAGAGGCGGTGGTGAGGCACCTCCTCAAGAAGAGCCTTCTCTGGACCCGGCTATATTAGCGAACTATCTCCAACCTAGTCATTCATAACACCATGTGCACTGTGTTTTAAATCCAAAATGACAAAACAAATTATAAAGACTGTTAAGAGAATTCAATAATATCCTTTAGTTCTAAGTTTTTACTCAATTTGCTTTATAAGAGTGACTTTTTTTTATGAAAATTTAGAAGTTATTCTAAAAATAGGAGGCAAAGTTATAAAGAACTGCTTATCAGATTCCTACAAAGGAGCCAGGTGTGGTAGACTGAACTGAGAGACAAGATGAAATCTTAGTCTTCAAGAATATAGACCTAGAGGCCTTATTAAAATAGACAAGATAGCACTGTTGAAAAATTGCACATGGTGTGACAGAAATTGCCCAATCACAAGCTAGGGTCAGCATAATGGGCAGCATCTGACCTGAGGTGCCTTGGACAATAAAAACTGGCATCATAGCTTAACCATTTTGAATGGGTAAGCAGGACCCACCAGACTCCTGGAAATGGAATACAAGTTTCAATCTGTGGGTTTAGGTCTCTATGGGAATAATAAACCCATCAAAGGTTTAATTTTCAATTGGGTGTGTTTTGAAGTTACAATTCATCATATTGTCATCACATTTGAAAATCCATTGCACATTAGAGGTGACAGCTTTACAATATAAAGCTTGGTCAACTATGTGATAATCCTATTGGGGCCAATATTTTTATCCTTTTTCTTTGGGGGCAGAATTTAAAGCAGTAAAAATGTGCTTTTATTATTTATCTTTTAAAGCAGGTGTGTCCAACCTGAGGCTCATGGGCCACATGGAGCCCTGGACAGCTAGTAATGCAGCCACACAAGATTGTAAACTTTTTAACATTACATGTAGTCCTTGATTTACAACTGCAATTCAGCCCAAAATTTCTGTTGCTAAGTTGTGAGTTTTACCCCATTTTATGATCTTTCTTGCCATAGTTGTTAAGTGAATCACTACAGTTGTTAACATGGTTAAGTGACTTTGCTTGTCAGAAAGTCACAAAAGATTATCACATGACCTTGAGATACTGCAACTGTTGTAAATATGACTCAGTTGTCAAGTGTCTGAATTTTGATGTGACCATGAGGATGCTGCAACGGTTCTAAGTGTGAAAAAACAGTCATAAGTCACTTTTTCAGTGTCATTGTAACTTCAAATAGTCACTAAATGAATGGTTGTAACTCGAGAACTACTTGTATTCATATAAATTACATGATTTATATAAATTAACTATATTATATATTTTATATGCAAGATAATTCCTCTTCACTCAATGGGCCTCAAGTAAGCCAAGAGGTTGGACAACCATGTTTTAAAGGGAAAAAACTTTTTTGTTGAGTGAGAGACTGGGGTCAAAGAAGAAAAATAGGTGCGTTAAACTACCAGAATCTTAAGACATCTTGTTCTCTTTAGTTTTTGTTTGTTTGTTTTTTATTAAATTGTAAATAAATTGTGCTGCCAAATTTCTGTGGTATAATCTTGGAGTAGCAAAGTTGGTTATGATGTTCTGTATTTAGCCTACAGGTTACCCACGACAGGTAAAGGAAAACTAAGTTGGTTCCCTTCCTCTTTGGAATGTTTCCTACATTTCATTTTAGGATAACATTTTTTGGTCATTAATACCTTGAGTTGATCATCAACAACCTTTGTAACTTCCCCAGCCATAGATTCTAGGATCTCCTGAATTGGATTGGATAATGAACCATTTGCTCCTGCCCATGAAGCTCCACCAAGATGATACAGGTTTGGTAATAACTGTAAAAAATACATATAAAAGAGCTACTATTAATATCTACCATGGCTTAACTGAATAAGCATAGATTTAATGTACTTGTTTAAATTCTGAAAACTTTAGAGGTAGAAGTTTTAATAGTATTACTTATTCTAATGGCATTGGAACCCTAGAATTATAAATATCTGCAATCTCTTACTGTTTTGGAATTCTTAGCATCCTTCATAAGTCTTTCAGCTGCTTTCAGATCCTCTTGTATTGTGTCAATTCCACAATTTCTTAAAGAGTTGAGATGATCTTGTACTTTGACACATATTCTGTCTATCATCTACACAAGAATAAAATTGGAAAGGAAAGAAATACTTACACACATAGAAAAAGAAGATAAAACTAACAGATAAAATAAATAAATCTCTTATATAGCCTTGGGAGATTGCACGTTCAAATATATAACCTCACGTATTTCTGAGGTTCTGACTTCTTTCTACTAGTTCTTGTTATTCATTACGGAGAAATATTACAGTGCCTATTTCTTGAAATATATAACATGATTCCCTCATGATTCCTCCCATTTCCATAGAGTTGAGGGTCTTCTGGCAGTGGAGAGAAGGCTACCTGGGGAAATCTGTAAGAATTGCCTTTATCCTATGTTATTTATGGGATGCCTTTTCAAAATGCAAGCCTCTTCTGTGAATGGAAGGGCACCTCTGAATTCAACGACTGAAAATTTTATTAATCATAAAAGAGTAAACAACTGGTACCTGTTGTGTTGTGCTAGTAACTATGCCCTGCTGTAGTCTGTACGCTTGCTCTTGTAGATATTTCTGGTCTCATGATTTCGAAGCAAATAATTTTCTATCTAAGAGCAGAAATTAAAGTCAGATACAAGCCTGGATTTTAAAAATTAAGTGAGAAAAGCATGTTAATATAGAAATAGTGCTTAACCATAAAATCATATGCTTGCACAATAAAAAGTAGATTCCGCTGAATTCAGTGACGCTGATTTCAAGGTCATCAGTATTGGACTACAGTCTTATTTTTTCTTCAAGGACTAAAACTCAATTCTTGGTATATTATCTTATGTTAATTGAAATCAATGCAACCGATATTATGTAACACTTATTTCAGATTAATTATCAAAACTTAATTATATCAACAAAAAAAGTTACTATTTTCTACAAAGAATACACAGTGATCTGCTTAATGCTAGAATCTTCTGAGGAATTTAGCAAGATCAAAGCAAAAAATCTCAGTGAATAGTTTACTGTCATAATATTTCCCATACAGAAGTTATATCTCATAGTCTAAGCAACTCCAAATAACCTTTTATTGATATCAGTTAGCACATAAAATATTTTAATGCTAAAGGGTATATAGCATGTGTTTATAATTTTGTCACTGCTTCTATTCTCACCTTCCATGCCTTATTTAGAAGAAACATGTCTCCATATCATGGTGATTCTTCATTATCTGTTCCTAAGTGTAGGTGAGTGTGGGCTTCAGCAAGACAATTCGAGAATTTGCTTCCGCAGTCATGAAAACCCAACTTGGTTTTCATTTATCCACTTCAATTTATATGTAGGAGATGATCAGGCTGAATCCGAGGAGGGGTCAAACACATCATAAACCACGAGTCTCTGCACGCCCACATGAGATTGAAGCCCCGCCTACCTTGAATGCCTTTCTTATCTCCACTCATTTCCCTTGACTGTTAGTTGGTCAGATTCTTGTAGAGAGCTCAAGCTTGCAATAAATATTTATACTCATTTGAACTGCCTGAATCTCCTGATTTCCCCGCGCTTGACATATATCAATAAATGTAGGAAATACCTTTTGAAGTGCCTCTTCTGTTTTCTCAGGATTTGTTTTAAGTGCTTGTGAAGCATCATTCACAGGTATAGGCATGAATCTTAAGGTATAATTCCTTTTAAAAAATAGAAACAAAAAGATTAGATGCCCAAAAGAAATAATTACTTAGCATGTTCTTATATGTATTCTTATCCTTTTGCTGTATATGTGTACACATGATAATCAGCTTGTGTTTTATCTTCTGTCACATTAAAATACAACTGAATCAATGTTACAATGAAATGTTGTAAACTTATAAATTAATGCTCCATTTAGATATCTTTATAAACTTCCCTTTGTCTTTCATGCAAGAATCTCCCCAAATTTAAGTTCAGAATCACAGTTCTCTGAGAGAGATTGGCTTGAGAGGCAATGGCCTGAGGTCACCCAGTGCGTCCATGATTAACTTTGGACCGGAATTTGAATCTTCCCAGTCCAAATTCAATACTGGCTCTGATTGTAGTACTACTGAAATATGCTACAGCTTTACCACTAAACTATTTAACCTGAGAAAAATAAATATAATTGTAGCCATTAGGCTTTTAATAAAAGTATAATCTGAAAGTGAAATTTCTGAAAAATATTTTAAAATGGAGGTAATTTAAAACTATGATTCACCCATTTTAAATATGCAAAAGTTAAATTCAACTAGTTATAGACTAGTTGATTTTTTTGCAGTCCTAACTTGAAAATGCACCCTTGTTTAAATAAGACTCGATATAAGCTACTGAAGGAATAGCTGCCCAATCAATACACTCTTGGAAAGTGCCTTTTGAACATTTCCATCATAGCACTCAAGTGTATTTCTCAGTATATATTTGATGCATTTTGCTCTGGCAATATAACGATCAATAGATCATATTTTATTGAATAAAGTAACTAGCATGAGATGGCAATTCCCTTTGTTTCCTTTACACTGTTGTACAGATGTCTATAAGAAGAATACAGTTTTAAAAACCCAATATCAGTGATTTTGATATTACAAATGAAATGGTTATGTTTCTTATTTGCTGTTAGGAATGGGTTAGGTTATTTCTACAGATAATGCTTTTTATTTTAAGAACAGAATAATGAGAAATGTACATAATTTTGCTGGGATATATGTCAAAGAAGAATATGTTTTAATTAAAGTTAAATCTATATTGTATGAAAGGCAGCCATTTATTCCAACATTGATAGTGGGCGACAGTTTCTCAATTAGCACTTTAATAAAACAAATGAGTTCCAGCAATGACGCTAATACTAGAAGTGAACAATACGGACTATAACTAGAGCTGTCATCTTCATAAAATCATAGCTACCAACATTTCCGCTTTCTGTCATTCATTCTCAGCTCCTTTTTTATTTATCTTGGCAGGTCAAAGGAAAAGATCAAGATTTGAAACGGGATGCTAATGAGCTTTTTCTCTCAACAAGATGTATGTTGTCAGACTGTAAAGTGATTTCCCCCCCTCTTAAATCAGCCACTGTCCTCTGTAGATTAAATGCTTTGATAAATAAACTGGGACTAGGTTTTAATTTTAATTTCACAAGGTTGGCAAATTTACTTGAGGATTAAAAATGTTATTTATTGATACAGGCAGTTGGTACCAGAATATATGTTGCTAAGCAATATGGTTGTAACATATGATGTCACATGACCGCATCACTAAATGACAGTTATCCTGTTAGTCATCACTGCCGAGCCGCTCCTGGTTTGATCCCCCACAAACCTTGAGCCTGGGTAAGGTAAGGGACTGCATCCTCTTGAACTCCCTCTTGCTCACTTATCTCCCTCCTTATCTCTATCCTTCTGGCCACCCTGCACAGTGGCACTCCTAGGCAGTGGTGGTATCTGGCTGAAGTAGAGGCCATTATCCAAACAACGCAGCACAAAGTCCAAGCCGCCTTATGTTCTGCCAACTCTGATGTCCCCAGCCAACCTTCACTGTCTTCTTTCTCCTACTGCTGGCGAGTCTGGTCCGATGTGAGGCAGCTGTTGGTTATGCCAGGCCTTTTTTCTGAGGCTGAACCCATGCTTCTCCAAATGGCATGTAACCTTCTTGTGAGATTCCGGAAGGTGTCAGAAGCCTTCAGAAGCATGCTAGAAGGCTGCTCACCATTTGGAAAAGGGCACATGTGGCCTCTGCCTTGTGTAGGGCCAGGCTGAGTGTGCCTCATAAATAGGAGGAGGAGGAAGACAGCAAAAGGTCTTCTAGGTGGCAATTTCATAACATGAATTATCAGGGGTTCAAACTACTCTATCTACATTTGAGGGAATTCTAACAGACAGCCACACAGAGCTTACTTTTCCAGTGCCACGGCTATATCCTGGAATCCCTGAGCAGTGATGTTGTTTTTGTCCCATATAACAGTTCTGTATGAAAACAGAAATTATGGATTGACTGATGAAAATGTTGAAAACAACATACATGCATTAAAGTTACACAAGTATTTTCAACATCTGAGTTGGGAGAAATATTGCAATAAAAAGTAAAATATTTTTTTTTTCTAATGAAAGCATAATATTGAGTTAAAATAAAGAGGCAACAAAAAATTCCAAAAGTAATAAAAACCAATAAGGATCATTATCATTATAAACATCTCTGCAAACCAAAGAGATGCCAAAAAAATAATAATACTGGCTTAAAATTAAGCAGTGTTTGATCCTGGTGTGCCTCAATAGGAAAAGCTTTCTACAGAGCTCAAAAAGCTCCTGAACTTAGAAAATACTTGATGGGCTTCATTTGATGAGAGGATGCCAGGTGTCTTTTCTCATGATAAATACTGTACTGAGATCACACAAACAGGAGCAGTCCTTTACTCATTCATTCCCCAAACATAAACCTGCTCAAATGATTATTGGTAATGGTGTCCAGAATTAAATTAGTTGCTACATAGGGGATAGGCACAAATAATTCCCCAATTCATTGTTTTCTTATATATAGGAAAACAGAGGAGTAAAAAATGCCCAGGGTTTAAAACTTTTCGATGTTGGTCTACTCAAATTTACCTTAACTAAGGGCTTTTTCTCCTCCTACAATCCAAATAAAATTATGAGACCATGATTGCAAAAACAATCCACAGCAGACCTTTTGAATGGAAGGGGGAATGGAAACTGAAAGGAGTTGCTAAGCACTAAATCACCATTTATTTTTTTCAAACTGGAGTATCCTGTGCACTGTTTCAACTAGCAATTAGAAAACAAGCACAAGGTTTTGACAAGAATCTGGATTCTTGGAATATGAATTAACTAGAAGTTAAAGTGCTGCATTTTAAAAAAGCAATTATATTGATTTCATGGCTGTTTTATGTGTTATTTTATTGCTGAGAAAGCCTTAGGACTCTATATAAGCAGAAAAGCAGGATATATATATTGAGTGGTAATGATGATAATTATGGTAATATAGATATTCAATACCTGAGTTTGGTGTTTATCTGAAGAGCTTTTGCAAGCATCTTTGCGCTCATGTCACCCATAGCATTTCCACTAATATCAATTTTTGTAAGGGATGTATTGCTGCCCAATGCATTGATAATGATAGTAATCTCTGTTTTCAGTTTAGAATCTGCTAGAGAGAGAGACTGCAAAGGCTGGGAAATAAGCAGATAACATAACTTTTAAAAATCTCTTTTCAAAATCTCAGATTAATTGAAAATAGAATCCAATTAGATGTGCATGAAATCCCCAATAATGTCCAACAAATAATATAAAAAAAAAATACAGAACAAGTCAAGAAAAAAATGGTCATTATAATATTGTGTTATATTATCTTAACACATATAAAACACAAACCTGTTTAACTTGATGAATTGCAGTGTGTTCCAAAAATATTTGTCATAATAAATATGTCACATTTAAATTATTATGGGACTTTTAAAATAATTAAGAACACCTTTATCTTGAAGTTAGCAGACTTACTCTTATAGGCAGCTTGTATGTCTACATTGTTCAACCCCAATTATGAGAGGATTGCAACAACAGAAGTCTCATTTGCAAGCTTTATGAATGAATGAACACAGATCAAAAGGAACAAATATAACTCCTCTTTATTTAGGTCTGAAAATAACTCATTAACCATTCTTTTAAAAACATGTTTAAATGCTGCAGTCTTCCTCTTATTCCCAAGCCATAGCCTGAGGCCTTGTAACTTTTATTTTTCTAATCTGGTGTTTTAATAGTGGCTGCATTTTTCTCCAAAGCAAGCACTGCTGTTAGCAAAATTTCCATGGTTTTGGCAACAACCAAGCTGATTCATAAAAGGCTTGAATCTACCCAGTTACAAGCCGCCGCCTCTTTTCTAGTTGCTGATTTTCTTCTATGACTATTTTAGTCTGTGTTATTGTAATAGGAGGAAAGGCACAGCAGCACCTAATTGTATATCACTAGACAAAGAATTAGACCACGACTTGTCTAAAGTTATGGTTGCCAGAGGCCTGAGAGAAAGGCTGCCTCAGAAAGACACTGGACTATTGTTTCTTCTGGCATTGCTGTCTCCTGTAGTGACCTACTTGTCAAACACTGGTTGATGTGCAGGGCAATAACCCTTTGGTTATATGTATGTATGTATGTGTATGTATGTATGTATGTATGCATGCATGCATGCATGCATGCATGCCTTTATTATTTTTATAAACAGCTGGTGAACATATCCAATACCCTTCCTCCTCCTATTTTCCTCAGAACAACCTGTGGGGTGAGTTGGGCTGCGAGAGAGTGGCTGGCTCAAGTCACCCAGGCACAAAGCGAAATAAAACTCACAGTCTCCAGGTTTGTAATCTAGTGCCTTAACCACTTGACCAAACCTGCTTTTCTGAAACCCTCTGGAGAATGGAGAGGACATTTGTTGCCTCACAGGTATTTATTAGACAAATAAAGGTCTCCTAATAAAGCTGTACCATGGCTGCAAGAAATACACAGTAGCTGTCTAAAGTGACCTGCCTGATGCAGGTTTGACAGGCAGGTTGCACCAAAATTGCAAGAACATTACTTATATTTAAAGATCTTGACACATGGCTAAACCCACTGCTTTAGTTGGCTATCAAAAACGGTGTCCTCCACAATTGTAGCCCCAATCTATGAGCAATTGGAAGGAAGGAAGGAAGGAAGGAAGGAAGGAAGGAAGGAAGGAAGGAAGGAAAAATAAGAAAGAGAAAGGAAGGAAGAAGGAAAAGAGAAGAAAGAAAAAAGAGAAAGGAAAGAAGAAGAAGGGAAAGAAGAAAGAAAGAAAGAGGAAGAAGGGAAAAAAGAAAGAAATAGAAAGAAAGAAAAAGGGAGAAAGAAAGAAGAGAGAAAAAGAAAAAGAAGGAAAGAGAAAGAAAGGAAGAAGGAGTAGAAATTAGGAGGAGGGAAGGAAAGAGAAAGAAGGAAAAGGAAGAAGGAGAAAGAAAAAAGAAATTAGGAGGAAGGAAGAAAGGAAAAAGAAAAAAAAAGAAGAAGAATAGAAAAAAATTAGGAAGGAAGGACGGAAGGAAGGAAGGAATACTGGAGGTCATCTAGTCCAACCCTCTGCTCAAGCAGGAGACCCTACCTAATGATGCTATTCCTGCCTTGAGCAGGGGGTTGGACTAGAAGACCTCCAAAGTCCCTTCCAGCCCCACGATCCCGCGTTCTGGGTTCTTCCATCTTATTGATAAAGTCGCAAGACTCATGAAGGAATCATAGCTTCAGAGGAGATTTCTTTTCCTATTTCCAGTCCATCGGGATGCAAAGAAATCTCCTTGGCGCTACAGATTCATTTTTGGTTTCAAAAAAAAAAAGCCCCCCACCAAATTTAGGAAGCCGGCTCCTTGCGGCTTGCTCCCCCTCACCCCCCACCCTGCCTCTGCAGACCCCCAAAACCGAAGCCCCCCCCCCATGCCAATTAGGCCAGATGGAGACAGGGTTCCCCCCCCCCCCAGTTGCCAGGCCATCCAAAGGGACCTCACGACTGGAGGTGGATTTGTGAAAAAAAATATTAATTATCTCTCGGTTAGCAAAGGAGCAACAGCTGTGAGCGGTTCCTAACTCCAACATGCCCAAACGGGCAGACCCCCAGTTTTTTTTGCACCGGTTGGCGTGCACCGTCATGCCGGGTGCCGCCGCAGCTGACCGATCGCCCGCTGGCAAAATGAGTCACAAGGCAGGAAAGGGGTGTGTGTGAAGTGGGAAGGATGTTTTCCCAAGAAAACATAGTGGTGATTTTTGGTGGGGTTTTTTTTTAAACAGAAATCCTGACTGTGTGACTAGGGCAATATATCTATATCTATATCTATATATATCTATATATCTATATCTATATATCTATATATCTATATATCTATATATATTATATATTTTCCACCCACTTTCCTCACAGAGGACTAGAAGATTGGCCGGGCTGTGGATGGCTCTCCGGAGGGAAGGGAAAGGATGGATGGGCCAAAGAAGGAAGGAAGGAAGGAAGGAAAAGGAAGGAAGGAAGGAAGGAAGGAAGGAAAAGAAAGAAAGAAAGAAAGAAAGAAGAAAGAAAGAAAGAAAGAAAGAAAGAAAGAAAGAAAAGAAAGAAAGAAAGAAAGAAAAAGAAAGCAGGCAGGCAGGCAGGTGAGAGAAAGGAAGGAAATGGAAAGGGAGGGAAAGGATGGATGGATGGACCAAAGGAAAGAGAGTAAGAGTGATGGATGGAAGGAAGGAAGGAAGGAGAGCGAGAAAAGTCCGAAGGAAATAAAAGTGGATAGATGCATAGAGGAGCAAGAAAGGATGAATGAATGAAAAACTAGAGGCATTTTCCCTCCTAACCATCGACAAAGACTTCACAAGAAAACGATGCATTCCATTTGGTGCCTCTTGCAAGGGGCTGGACTAGAAGACCTTTAAGGAGCCCGTTCTGAGTAGAGTTATAAAAAAAAAAAAAGATAGGGAGAAAAATAAATATCCCTTAAATATCATTTTTAACAGCCAGGAAGCTTTGCTGAGGAGGTGCGAATCTGCGAATTATGTAAAAAAAATTTTTTTAAACGGATTGTCCGTTCTTATACATTCACCGGCCAAAGTTAGATGTGCGAATATATAAATTTGATGGATAATTAATTTTAAAAAAAACCCACGCCACTCATGCTTTTAATCCATCCTTTGCTTTGTAGGGCAAGGAATGCTTTGAGCATCTGAGCAGGGGGTTGGACTAGAAGACCTCTAAGGGCCCTCCCAACTCTGTCATTCTATTCTATTCTATTCTATTCTATTCTATTCTATTCTACTCTACTCTACTCTACTCTACTCTACTCTATTATTCTATTCTACTATTCTACTCTATTCTATTCTATTCTATTTTGCAAGGAAAAAGAAAATGGTGATTAAATCTTTGTGGGTGATGAGCCACATTTTTTTAGATGGCTTGAAATTAGGAAGTGGTGGAGAGGTATTTGCAAACCGATTCCTAATCCTTCCGTCTGGTTTTTTTTTGGGGGGGGCGTCTCCTGGATCCATCCGGGAGACCTCAGGAAGAGGAAAGAATAAGGCAGAATAAGGAAGATGGAAGTTATGTTTTTTTTTTAAAAAAATTTTTCATACGTGAGGATGAAGCTGGCAAGAAAATACATTTTATCTAAAATCCTCCAGGGAGACGTCTATTCCATCCCAGACACCGCTCGAAATTAATTGCATCTGGAAATGCTGAATATTTGGACGATATTCTGCAGTAACACAGGTTGTGAGTTCGATCCTAGGTAGAGGCAGATATATTTTTCTCTCTCTGGGCACAATGAGAATAAATCTGCTGGGAAAAAAACTCCGCTCTGGCGACAGGAAAGGCATCCGGCCATTAAAACACTCTGCTAGCTCCATTCAGTTGCCCAGACTCCACCCTGCAAGGGATTATGGGCTCGTTAACAGAAGACGATTCTGGAGTAATACAGGTAGTCCTGGGTTACGACCGCAGCTGAGCCCCAAATTTATATTGCTAAGTGAAACATTTGCTGAGTGAATTTTGCACCATTTCATGAGCTTTCTTCCTGCCATCATTAAGTGAATATCTGTGGTTGTTAAGTTAGCAACATGTCGTTAAGTGAATCCTCGTTGACTTTGCTCGTCAGAAGGTTGCAAAAAGGGATCACGTGATCCCGGGACACTGCAACCGTCATAAATATGAGTCAGTTGCCAAGCATCTGGCAACTGGTGTAGGGTTTCCTGCCTAAGCAGAGGGTTGGACTAGAAGACCTCCAAGGTCCCTTCCAACTCTGTTATTCTATTCTATTCTGAATTTTGATCATGTGACCACGGAGGCGCCGCAACGGTCATAAGTATGAAAAACGGTCGTTAAGTCCCTTTTTTCGCTGCCGTCGTAACTTTGAACGGTCCCCGAATGAATGTATTTATTTAGCCTGCATTTAGTCCTCCAAGGAAAAAAGTTGGAGAGAAAGACTGGCTGGAAAAGTTAGCCCCTCTCTCACCTGAGTCAGGCCACCTAAATGGCAGGGCAGCCTAAATTTCGCAAACGCTGATTGGTTCGTGGTGGACGAAGCCACGCCCCCTTGCTTCCTACGTGGCCAATGGAGAAGGAGGAGGGTGAAGCCATGATGCCATGCCAGGATGTCACCTGAAAAGCAGGTATGCCTCCAAATAGCTTGTTAATTGGTCCAGTTTATGGGATTGGGGTTAACCTGGTTTATGGTGGGTCTGGTGGTTTTGGGAACCATCTCTTTGGATTGGGTTGTCCTAAGACAGGGGTCGGCAACCTTAAACACTCAAAGAGCCATTTGGACCCATTTCCCACAGAAAAGAAAACACCGGGAGCCACAAAAACCCTTCCCGTGCCTATTTCTTGAGCAGCCACAAAACAAGTTAACTTGGTTTGCTTGATTTATTAAGCTCAACTAGTAAACTTCCCAAAGCTCAAGTAGTAAGCCTAACTTGCTAAACTCAACCAGTCAACTTTGTTTGCCCAACTTCCTAACTTCCTCTATTAGTAAACTTGGTTTGCCTGAACTTCAAAAGCTCTAGTAAACTTGGTTTGCCCGATTTATTAAGCTCAACTAGTAAACTTGGTTTGTCCAATTTACAAAGTTCAAGGAAATCTGGTTTGCCCAACTTCCAGAGTTCAACTAGTAAACCTAGTTTGCCTGACTTCAAAAGCTCAGCTAGGAAACGTGGTTTGTCCAAATTACGAAGCTCAAGTAGTAACCCTGGTTTGCCCAACTTCCTGAGTTCAACTACTAAACTCGGTTTGCCTGATTTATTAAGCTCAGCTAGTATACTTGGTCTGTCCAACTTACAAAGCTCAAACCTGGTTTGCCCAACTTCCTAAGCTCAACTAGTAAATTTGGTTTGCCTGAAGTTAAAAAGCTCTAGTAAACTTGGTTTGCCCGATTTATTAAGCTCAACTAATAAACTTGGTTTGTCCAACTTCCTAAGCTCAACTAATAAACTTGGTTTGTCCAACTTACAAAGCTCAAGTAAACTTGGTTTGCCTGACTTAAAAAACTCTAGTAAACTTGGTTTGCCCGATTTATTACGCTCCACTAATAAACTTGGTTTGTCCAACTTCCTAAGCTCAACTAATAAATTTGGTTTGTCCAACTTCCTAAACTCAACTAGTAAACTTGGTTTGCCCAACTTCCTAAACTCAACTAGTAAACTTGGTTTGCCCGATTTATTAAGCTCAACTCGTAAACTTGGCTTGTCCAACTTCCTAAGCTCAACTAGTAAACTTGGTTTGCCCAACTTACAAAGCTCAAGTAAACCTGGTTTGCCCCACTTCCTACACTCAACTAGTAAACTTAGTTTGCCTGACTTCAAAAGCTCAGCTAGTAAACTTGGTTTGCCCAATTTGTACACTTTAGTTCTCCATCTTTGGTATTTGGTAAAAAAATTAGATGCAAATGTTTTGCTACATTTAATAGCTTCTAGTTCTTGTAAGCAGACACAGAACTAAATATTCAAATATTCGAATATTGCAAGGGGGAATTACAAGTTTTTTAATGGATGACTACCAAGAACACTATAATCAATTCATTCCGAATGAAACAGATTGTGGGTGGAAAACACCTTGAGGTTTTAACCTTAGCAGTAAAAAAAAAACCCAAAACCTTTGGAATATATTGGGAATTTTTTTCCCCCTTCGAAAAATACCCTCCGGAGTTTGAAGGCAGTTCCGCGCTCAAAAATGGTGCTTTTAATCCAGAGCTAGCGAAATGTCGGTTTATCCCTGTTTTTTTTCTAAATGTTGATATTTATTTTATAATTGTGCTTCCCCTGTCGTGAAATTTGATGTGATACCTCCACCTCGCAGGCTGTTTTCCTACGGTGTATTTAAAATGGGCTCATATTACCTCCCGGACCGAATGATGAGGATGATCCTAAAATAAGGAGGCACTCCAGAGAGCATCCAGTCCAGCCTACAAGATCTTAAATCTCATCTCGAGTAATGGGTACTACTCGAGGTAGTAATGGGTGGGAAGTTTGTCAAAGAGAGATCCAAGAATTGAGAAGGGCGGTATATAAATTTAAAATAAAATAAAAATAAAAAAGGAGAAATTTCCTGATAGTCAGAACAATTAACCAGTGGAACGACTTGCCACCAGAAGTTGTGGGGGTGGGGGGCTCATCAATTGTGGAGGTCTTCAAGAAGAGACTGGAAAGCCATTTGTCTGGAATGGCATAGGATCTCCTGCATGACCTCTGAGTTTCCCTTCCAGCCCTAGGATTCTATTTCTAATTCTCCTAAAGGCCTCAACGGGTGAAATCTGTGTCTGTGGGTACAAATTATGCATTACCAAATATTTGCTGGCAAGCCATACACACACACACACAGACAGAGAGAAACTGAGCATAAGATGAGGACGAAAAAGAAATATAGATAAAATATATATATATATATTTCTATCAAAAAGAAATGTACACAGAAATATATATATTTATATTTATATTATATTATATTTATATATATATAAAAAGATCCTTCACATAAGCCTGATGATGGCAGATGAGATTCTGTCGAAACGTCGCTTCTACCCTTTTAGGGATATGTTCACAATTACACGGGAAGAAACCTGAAATATTAACTGTACACACATATATACCCGTGAAAACTTACATAGATATATATATATATCTCGTAGGGTTTATGTGTGTTTTTCCTCTAGGGAAAACCTGGCTAGAGGAAAAACATATATATATGTTATATATATGTAACATATATATATATATATATATTTCTATCCCAGCCTGGTTACCGGGTGGAGAATCGTGAATAGGAGCTCCTTAACACGGTTATATGGCATAAATAAATAATTTTTTTAAAAAATCCACACAGCAATGAAATGGCAAAATGCTAATTTTGAAACACACACACACAAGGAGTGAAAACACATTTATGACGGTCGCGTGACAGCCCCTCCCCCCTTTTTGCGACCTTCTGACCAACAAGTTGATAGGAAGCCACGTTCACTTAATGGTGCGACTGAGTTAACAACTGCCACTTAGCAGCCGCGGCCAGAAACTTCGTAAACCGGTGCCAAATTCACTTCACCGGCATCTCGCTTAGCGACAGAAATGCGGGTGGGGGGGCTCTGTGGTCGTCGTAAATCAAAGGACTACCTGTGATGATAAAAACATCTGGAGCACCCCCTCGGCATTGACGGAATCCCCGTCGGTCAATTGCAAAAAGGCAGCTTTGACTCGGAACGCGCTGACATCCTTCAAGGATAGTGTAATATTATTCAACATCTGTCCAGCCCCCGTTTCTTGGCAAAGGTCGCCAGAGGTGCCCCCAAACCATGCCAGATCCAGTCTGAACATCTGGCTGGCTCTGGGAGATGTCACTCTTTTTTTAAAAAAAAAAAAATTATTCATTTTAATTGAATTAAAGTGAACCCTGGGAGAATTTAACGGTAAATGCTATGCTATCCTCCCGTTTTTTTTTTATGGGAAGGCAATGCTTTATTGCAGCTATCTAGATAAAAGACTCCATCACTGTACCCATTTCACAGATTTTATCTGCTTTCCAAGCAAACAAAGCAGGGTTTTACGAGGGCATCCTGGAAGGGACGGTCACAACGTGAAAAACTAAAACATTTAATCCACAGGGCTGGCATCTTTGGCAGAGTAACACACCCCACGTGGCCGCCACCGTGCAAGAAAACTTTTTTTTAAAAAAAATTGCCGATAGAAAACAAGATCGATCGATTTCAGTGTCGCCTCTGAGCTTGGTGGGTGTTTCATGAGCCAAACTGGGTCACAAACTAGGATTTAGCCCTGATGATGTTAGCTAGTTTGGGTCATGATATGTCTGCAAGAAAGAAACCAAGCTCAGAGAGCACCAAGGAAATCCACAGTCCTTCTCCTTTCTCCTTCTTTCTCCTTCTCTTTCTCACTTCTTCTTTCTTTCTCCTTCTCCTTCTCCTTCCCCTTCCCCTTCTCTTTCTCCTCTCCTTCACTTTCTCCTTCTCTTTCTCCTTCTCCTTCTCTTTCTCCTCTCCTCCTCTTTCTCCTCTCCTTCTTTCTCCTTTTCCTTCTTTCCCCCTCTTCCTCTTCCTCCTCCTCCTCCTTCTCTTTCTCTTTCTCCTTTCTCCTTTCTCCTTTCTCCTTCTTCTTTCTCTTTCTCCTTCTCTTTCTTTCTCCTTTCTCCTTCTCCTTTTCCTCCTCTCTCCTTCTCTTTCTCCTCCCCTTCCCCTCCTCTTCTCTTTCTCCTCTCCTTCTTTCTCCTTCTCCTTTCTCCTTCTCCTTCTTTCTCCTTCTCTTTCTCCTTCTCTTTCTCCTTTCTCCTTCTCCTTTTTCTCCTTCTCTCTCCTTCTCTTTCTCCTTCCCCTTCCCCTTCTCTTTCTCCTCTCCTCCTTTCTCCTCCTTTCTCCTTCTCCTTTCTCCTTTCTCCTTCTCTTTCTCCTTCTCTTTCTCCTTTCTCCTTCCCCTTTTTCTCCTTCTCTCTCCTTCTCTTTCTCCTTCCCCATCCCCTTCTCTTTCTCCTCTCCTTCTTTCTCCTTCTCCTTCTCCTCTTCCTCCTCCCCCGCTCCATTCTAGCACTGATGATGTTCCCTAGTTCGGTCACGAAACGTTTGCAGGAAAACAACCAGGCTCAGAGGGTACCAAGGACCCCCACAGTCCTTCCTCCTCTTCCTCCTCCTCCCCCGCTCCCTTTAGCACTGATGATGTTATCTAGTTTGGTCACGAAACGTCCGGAAGTAAACAACCAAGGTCAGAGGGCACCAAGGACCCCTGATAAATCTCTTTTTTTGAGGGGGGGGCTAATTTTGGAGAGACCAACCTTAAAAGTCTGGGAGAGGTTGGCTGCGGATGGCTGGCCATCCGTTTCTGGAGGATGGGCTTGGTGGTGCCGGATTTTAGACTCTGGACCGAGATGGTTGAATTGGGGGTGAGAGGAGAGAAAGGGCAGAGAGCTCACCCCTATCCCACCTGGGGTGGCCTTCCCCCAATGAAAAGGAAGCCCACCCACCCCAAAAATACAATATGCCCCCAGCGAGCAACTTTGGAGAGAGCAAAATCAAGAGATCGCCCACTTACCGTCCAGGTGGCCGATTTTGCCGTGCTGGATTGCTGGAAGGTGACTTCGAAGTGATGGGGTCCCGGGTAGTCGGTGTTGGAGGGGATGATGGGCGCCGGGGACATGGTGTCAAAGGTCGAGCTGGGCTGGGAGTAGGGCGAGAGCGTGGGGACATTAGCGATGTGCTCCGAGCTGTAAGGCGTGGAGGAGGCGGCTCGGCTGTCAGCGGTCTGATCCATGCTCCTGTTTAGCAAATTGTACTGGGACTGGGGTGGGGTGGGGTAATTGGGGGGGGGAGAGAGAGGGAGGGTTGGGAGGGGGGGAGGGGAAGAGGAGAAAAAAGAGAAGAGAGAAGAAGAGGAGAGAAGTCACACTGCCAGTTGCACAGACGAATTGGTGGCCTTGCTTTGGCAGCAAGCGTGCCCGTACAAAGATGCACCAGGTGTAAGGAGAAACTCCTGCAACATACCTCGCCGGGGTCCTCCGGTGGAGCCCTTTTTTTTTTTTTTTGCATTCCACCCCCTCCCCTTCAAAACAAGCCCACACTTGCTCTCCGCCAGAGTTTCCTTTCTCTTCTCTCTTTTTTTTTTTCTTTTGCGTTTGCAAAGGGTGGAGGAGAACGGTTGGCGAAGAAGAGGGGACGCTGGGCAGGGAAGGGTGTGGTGGGTGTGTGTGGGTGGGGAGGGGGTCTCGGAGGGCAGAGATCCATCGGTGGTGATAGGGGGGCGTGAGCCAGAGGATGATGGAGAGGGCTGCTAAGACGGGAGGTTTGGGGAAGGACCAGGCACTGAGAGGCGTAAACTGACGGCAGAGGAAACCTGGCGTTACGCATTGAGCCTAAACTGACCATGTAGCTTGCATGGATGGATGGATGGATGGATGGATGGAAGGAAGGAAGGAGAAAGGAGAGGGAGAGAGAAAGGAAGGAAGGAAAGGAGGGAGGGAGGGAGGAATGGAAGGAAGGAGGGAGGGAAAAGGAATTGGAAAAGAAGAGGAAGGAAGGAGAAAGAGAGTGGGGAAGGAAAGAGGAAAGGAAAAAGGAGGGAAAGGAAGAAATGGAAAGGGAGAAGGGAGGGAGGGAAAGGAAGAATTGGAAAAGAAAGAAGGAAGGAAAGAAAGGGAGGGAGGGAGGGAAAAGAAGGAAGGGAGGGAGGAAAAGGAATTGGAAAAGAAGAGGAAGGAAGGAGAAAGAAAGGGGAAGGAAAGGAAGAAAGGAAGGAAGGAGGGAGGGAAAGGAACAAATGGAAAGGAAGAGGGAAGGGAAGGAAAGGAAAGGAGGAAGAGGGAAGGAAAGCAAGGGAAAGGAAAGGAGAAAGAGGGAAGGAAAGGAAAGGAAAGGAAGCTAGAAGAAGAAGGAAAGGAAAGGAAAGGGTAGAATGGAATGGAATGGAAAGGAAGAAATGGAGAGGAAAAGGGAGGGAGGAAAGAAAGAAAGAAGGAAGGAAGGAAAACACAGCCTTTCAATGCATAGAATCGGGCCAAGCCAACGCATCCTAAGGCCTTTTCCTCCCGAGCTCAGAATTTCCTCTGAAGTCCCAGTGCAAATATTTTTCCTGCTCTGGGAAAGGCTGAGATTCGGAGGCTCATAAAACGGGGCGTGGGGGGGGGCATTGGGGCGCGGAGGGGTTGAAGAACGAATAAATTGGGGAGGGGGGTGTCGGCTTTGCCAACCTGAGCCTGTCCCAGCCTGCGTCTCTCCTGACACTCAACCCCTCCTGGACTCCGATCTGCCCTTGGCAAATTTGCACAGGCGAGTTGGAGCGTGCCCATCTTCCTGTGCTGCTTAGCCAAGATCCCCCGCATTTATGGGCTTCGGTACCCCACTTCCCCAGAGAGGAGAAGGAGGCCCCCTTCTCCTGGGACTCAAAGCCTGTCAGGGAAACAATTGACCCAATGACCACAATCTCCATGGTGCTTATCTTCAGCTGAGATTTATGGCCTCTCGAAAAACCGGAGGCCGGTAGCTAGGCACAAACCATCAAAGTAGGCTTATCAGGAGTTTTAATCTGGGCTTCGGGCTGTTGGGTTACACCCAGAGGTGTTACGGGCGAGAAAATAACCGTGGAAATTCAATTTATTGGGGTGAAATACCTAGAGAGAGCTCAGCCATCCACAAGACAATTTTATGGAGCAAAATATGCCGCATCCTCATTCGTTTAGTGACGGTTACCAAAGTTACCAAATGACCCCCTTTTTCACACTTAACGACCGTTGCAGCACCTCCAAAGTCACCGGATCAAAATTCAGACGCTCGGCAAGCGACTCATATTTATGATGGTCGCAGCGTCCCGAGGATACGTGATTTCCCCCCTTTTTGCAACCTTCCGGCCAGGGGAAGACAGATTCGCTTAACAACGGAGGACGAAAAGTCATAAAACCGGGCCAAATTTCCCGAGCGGCTGTTTCGCTTAGCGACTGAAATTTGAGGGCTCTCTTGTGGCCGTAAGACGAGGACTACCCGTAGTACGTTTTTTTTTTTTGAAAGCGTGGAACGGGAGTCGACAAGGCGCAATATGACATGTGAAGTCAACCGATGATGGTTTATTCCTTTTAACCATGGTCAACCATGGTCTCTCGGAGTCAGAAATGAAGCGGATGAGCAGAACGCCGCTGTCCAAGACCAGTCAGGAATTGCAAGTTGTGGAAAACTGGGATTTACAGCTAAGCCTACAGACGGAGAGGCCAATTTTTATATCTGCAACCCTGGGTGCTATCATGCAATTATTATTATTATTATTAATTAAATTTATTTGCTGCTGTTCTTACAAGCTCTTTAACAGCTTTCCATCTGAAGTTGTGGGTGGTTCCATCGCTGGAAGTTTTTAAGAAGGGACTGGACAGTCGCTTGTCTGAAATGGTCTAGGATCTCCTGGTTGAGCAGGGGGTTGGACTAGAGGACCTCCGAGGTCCCTTCCAGCTCTAGTCTGATGGATGGATGGATTGATAAAATAATTGCGCGTTTTCCGTGCTTGGAAGGGTTGCAAATGCAGCCCCCCCACCCAAAAATTAAACCAAGCCGATTCTGACATCAAACACAAGGTTGCATGGTTTAATAGAAGCCAAGATGGTCCACATAAAAAAAATAAACAAACCGGGATTCGAATTCGAGTCCTGCGTGGCGGCCGCCATCTTGACTCCTTTGAGCTCTGCCCAGCTCTGCGTCCTTCGCCTTTGCCTGCGTCCATCGGTCCCCCACTTCAATTTTACTTTCTTGTCCCAGCGGAAAAATGACAGGTGGCTCTCGACTTACGACCGTTAACCACAACAACACTGGAAAACAAAACGACCCGCGGGTCCTCGCACTTACGACCATCGCAGCCTCCTCCCAATCAGCTAAATCCAAATCTGGCCGTCTTTACGACCGAGGCAGAATCCCGGAGATCAGCTGGTGACCGTCAGCCGTTTCAGGTGTGTGTGTGGGGGGGGGGAGAAGCCAGATTCGCTTAACGGTGTGTGATTCGGTTAACGACCACAACTATTTGCTTAACAGCCGTGCCCCCTCCTCCAAAAAAGGCCATAAAATCGGACGCCGCTCGCTTCACCGCCTTGCCTTAACGACGGAACGTTTAGTCCCCCGTTTTGGCGGAGTCGTAAGTCGAGGACCGGCTGCTGATAACCTTGTCTGGCCTCTCCGAGATCTCGGCTCCCTCTCCTCTCCTCCCCCTCCCCAAATCCATTTCAATCCTTCCTTCCAATTTCGGCAGGCTCGGGAGTTCAAGGAACATGTTAAAACTTGGGATTTGAAGAACCTCTCCCACTTAGAACTTTTTCCGAAGTTGTTCTGTAATCGTGGTTTTTTTTTTTCCTTTTAATGGGTGGGGGGGTGAGGGGGGGCTGAAGAGACCTCCGCTTGTGTTGCGTTTCCCACAATCTCTGCAGTGTTTGGTGAGTAACGGTTGGAATTTGCAGCAAGCTTCGACTTGCGCCGGCAAAGAGAAACACCTCCTTTCTCCCCGAAAGTATGCATGATGGGACAGGGGAAAATAAATAAATAATAATATATATATATAAATATATTTTTCTCCTTCTCACCAGAGCCCGGTTCCCAAAATGTTTAATTTTTTTCTCCTTCTTTGTAGACCACCTAGAGGGGAAGTTCTATCGGGCTGGAGGTCATTCCCAAAAGACACATGGCACACCTGGAAGGGACTTTTGAGGTCTTCTAGTCCAACCCCCTGCTCAGGCAGGAGACCCTGGACCATTTCAATCAATCAATCAATCAATTAATAATCAACCTGAATACAGGTGGAAGGGACCTTTGAGGTCTTCTAGTCCAATCCCTTTGCTCGAGCAGGAGACCCTGGACCATTTCAATCAATCAATCAATCAATCAATCAATCAATCAATAATAATCAACCTGAATACAGCTGGAAGGGACTTTTGAGGTCTTCTAGTCCAATCCCTTACTCGAGCAGGAGACCCTGGACCATTTCAATCAATCAATCAATCAATCAATCAATTAATAATCAACCTGAATACAGGTGAAGGGACCTTTGAGGTCTTCTAGTCCAGAAAGAAGAGAGAAAAAGAAAAAGAAGGAAAGAGAAAGAAAGGAAGGAAGAAGAAGAAGGAAGAAAGGGGAGAGGGAGGGAGGGAGAAAGAAAGAAAAAGAAAGGAAGGAAGGAAAGAAAGAAAGAGAAAGAAAGAAAGAAAGAAAGAAAGAAAGAAAGAAAGAAAGAAAGAAAGGAGGACGAAGGCGACAAGCCAGGATGAAAAGCATTTTTCGTGGCCTAACCGCTTTGTTTCCCTGGATTCCGACAGACATGATGCTCCATCGCTCCATCGTCTCTCGCCTGATCTGGACCTACATGCTCTCCATCGCCGTGACTTACTTCATCACGCTGTGCCTCTTCCCTGGGCTGGAATCGGAGATCCGGAACTGCACTTTGGGGGAATGGCTGCCCATCCTCATCATGGCCGTCTTCAACCTTTCCGATTTCGTGGGCAAGGTAACCAACCCTCTTGGCCAGGATCCTCAAGCAGATGGAGAACCCCAAATTTGCAAGGGTGTGTGTGTGTGTGTGTCACAGGGTCAGAGGTGCCATTCCTCCTCTGGGATTGGGGACAGCCGAGATCTGGGATATGTACCCTTTGCCAGAGGGTTTTCTGATGGGGTCACAGGATGAGCAGAAACGAAGCAAGCAGGGAGGTCAGATCAAAGGAGGGGACGATGACAAGCATCTCTTTGATGTGTCCTCCTCTCCCTTTGTGTCTCTGACCCTCATTTTTCTCTCCACCCCACCCCAGCCCTGAGTTTCATCTTGCATTCCAGGCAGAAATCCGAGCTGTTCTTGTGGGGGAAAAGACTTTGAAACTAGGAAAAAAAAGTTGCTTGAAAATAGATCGATGGCCGCCTCTAAAGTTGGCAGGTTCAGAAGAAGTTTCCACTAATAAATCCCAGGTGGGATTCTTAACCTCTGCCTGTGTTTGACAGGGGCAGAGAATCCCGTGTCTTCCGGTTAAACAAGCCTCCCTGCCCTGTGGCAGTCTACCTGTGAACCCCAGATAGTTGGCTTTGCCTTCGCGTGGGAGAAAGGCCCTGCTAACCTGTTGTGGCCCACCAGTGGCCAGCGGATCTGGCAGCAGATTCGGACAGTGAGGAGGTTGGGGAGGAACCTGGGCCAGTCCTGGAGTCTGGGGAAGGCTCGGATGAGGGCTCTGCATCGGAGGCAGAGATGGGGACAGAGCCGTCTGCCAGTTACCAGCTGCCTTCGGAGTCAGACATCAGTGAGGCACAAGAACAGCTGGATCCTGTTCCCAGTGTGCGCACGCACAGAGTTGCCAGACGAAGGGAACAGCTAAAGAACAAGGGTCGACTCAGGAGTAAGGCCACAGGTGGACGATGAAGGGCCCCTCCCAGAGGGAATAAAAGAGGAGCGAAAGGGGAGTGGAGTTTGCAGGAGACACTTAGTTCATTCCTGCATTCTTGCCAAGTATTGCGGGCGTCTGAAAGATATCGGCCTGGCCACTCTCCAAGCCTGATAAAGGTCAGTAATTGTGAACGATCTTGAAAGACGGTGGGAGAGGAAAGACTTTGCTGCAGAGAAATTCCCTGTAAATTAAATAAAAGGGATTTTTGTCGGGACAAGGAATCTGCTTCGTGCTGCCGGGGAAGCCTAGGTCAAAACTCTACCTAAAACAGATCCAGGAAGTCTCTTAATGTTTCTCTTGTGGATTCCGCAGATTCGTAAGAATTCGGTTCTCCTTTTTCCGCATTTCCCAGATTTTGGCGGCGTTGCCTTATGACTGGAGGGGAGCCCACCTCCTTCTCTTCTCCTGCCTGCGAGTGGTCTTCATCCCTCTGTTTATCCTCTGCGTCTACCCCAGCGGGAAGCCCACCTTTAGCCACCCAGCCTGGCCCTGCATCTTCTCGCTCCTGATGGGCATCACCAACGGCTACTTCGGCAGCGTCCCCATGATCCTGGCGGCTGGGAAAGTGAGCCCCGAGCAGCGGGAATTGGCAGGTTAGTTAAAGCAACCGTTTTGCATGCCTCCCCCGCAAGAATTGTGAGACGCCGTTGTCAGAAAAGAAGGCCGGAAGGAGTTTTTAGTTCAGAGGGGACAATGTTGGCACCTCTGCCACTTAATTAATTCTTTCAGTAGAACAAGTACCGTGTAGAGCAGGGCTTCTCAACTTTAAGACGTCTGGACTTCCGACTCCCAGAATTCCCCAGCCAGCATGGGGAATTCTGGGTACTGAAATCTGCCCACCTTAAAGGTTCCTAAATTGAGAACGAGGGTTGTAGAGAATCTCTATTTTGCTATCATCTCTCTCTCTCTCATTCTCTATATCTATATTATCTTTCTCATTTTCTATATCTATTATCTCTTTCTTGGATTCTCTGTATCTACCTATCATCTATTCTCTTTCTCTGTAACTAACATCTATTATCTATCATATATCTATCATATATCATAATTCATCATATATATATATATCCATCTCTCTCTCATATTTCTCTATCCATCCATCTATATCCATATCTATCTATCTATCTATCTATCTATCTATCTATCTATCTATCTATCTATCTATCATTTATCTATATCCATCTATCTATCTATCTGTCTGTCTGTCTGTCTGTCTGTCTGTCTGTCTGTCTGTCTGTCTATCTATCTATCTATCTATCTATCTATCTATCTATCTATCTATCATTTATCTATATCCATCTATCTATCTATCTTTCTGTCTGTCTATCTATCTATCTTATATCTATCTCCATAATTATCTATCTATCTATCTATCTATCTATCTATCTATCTATCTATCTATCATCTATCTATCTATCTATCATTTATCTATATCCATCTATCTATCTGTCTGTCTGTCTGTCTGTCTATCTTATATCTATCTCCATAATTATCTATCATCTATCTATCTATCTATCTATCTATCTATCTATCTATCTATCATCATCTATCTATCTTTCATTTTCTTATATCCCTCTCATCCATCATCTATCTATCCATCTATCTCCATAATTATCTATTTATCCATCTATATCCATAATTATCTATCTATCTATCTATCTATCTATCTATCTATCTATCTATCTATATATCTATCCATCCCTGTTGAGGAGAAAAACTATTAAAATAAATTATGTGTGCGGTCATCCCTCAAACGATGACATCATGTGCCTCATGACATCATCCTGCAAAGGATGTCTGTTGTCTAATTTGCGTACTTTGCAGGATGATGTCACTGCCCTCCCTCCCCCCCCGGGACATCCCTTGCCCTTTCCGATGGAGACTCAAGAGTCGTAACCCTCTCCTCTCCGTTTCTCACTCCCAGGTAACACCATGACGGTGTCCTACATGACAGGGCTGACACTGGGCTCCGTGGTAGCCTACTCTGCCTACAGCCTGATCAGCACTTCTCCAAGTTCCTGTCTCTACCCAGGGAACTACACTGCCTCGGTCCTCGATGGGAACTGACCAGACCATCAGTGGAGCGCTTGACGTCTAGGCACGGCCAGGCAAGATGGCGGGGTAGGGGGAAAGAGAGCCTGTGACTCGATGCCCCCCTGCAGGCACAGCCCTAGATCCTTCAGGATCCGCATGGAAAAATCCAAGCCACATCTTTACCCAATGACCATGTGTAGGATACCCATATACCCATACTCGCGTGGGTATGACCCTTCTACGCAGGTTGCGTCGTTCCTGTTCGTTCCAGCCAGATTTGAGCAGGACGTTTCTTTTCTCCAGTGGATCATTGCGTGTCCCCTACAGCTATCCCTAGCAGCTCTCAAATCCATCGGTCAGAATAGCATCTTGCCCATGTCATGAAAGAGACATCCTTTAACTGTCTCTTCCTTACCGTATTTTTCGGAGTGTAAGACGCAGCTTAATTTTTGGGGAGGAAAATAGGAAAAAAAATAAATCTGCCTACCAGGGATTCATTTAGTCTGGTCAGCTTCAGCACATTCGTTTGCTAGTTTTTTTATCCCCTGCTTGGGGATAAAAAAAACAGCTTCTGCACAGCTGAGAGGAAGCAGCAATGAGAAAAGCAGGCAAAGCACGGGGGAGATCCCTTCACTCGGCTAGCGCCTAGTTAGGGCTGAAAAAAGCTTCTAAAGAACAGCTGAGAGTCGGAGCAAAGCATGGAGATCCCTTCACTCGGCTAGCGCCTAGTTAGGGCTGAAAAAAGCTTCTAAAGAACAGCTGAGAGTCGGAGCAAAGCATGGAGATCCCTTCATTCAGGTAGCACCTAGTTAGGGCTGAAAAAAAGCTTCTAAAGCACAGCTGAGAGTCGGAGCAAAGCATGGAGATCCCTTCACTCGGCTAGCGCCTAGTTAGGGCTGAAAAAAGCTTCTAAAGAACAGCTGAGAGTCGGAGCAAAGCATGGAGATCCCTTCACTCGGCTAGCGCCTAGTTAGGGCTGAAAAAAGCTTCTAAAGAACAGCTGAGAGTCGGAGCAAAGCATGGAGATCCCTTCACTCACTAGCATCACGTTAAAGCACAGCGGAGAGTTGAGGGAGCAGGCAAAGCTGGGAAGATTGCTCATTAGCGCCTCGTTAGGACTGAAAAAAAGCTTCAGAAAAAGCTACATTTGGAGTATAAGATGCACCCACATTTTCAATCTCTTTTGCGGGGGGGAAAGGTGCATCTTATATTCTGAAAAATACGGTAGTTTTTGGTGTTTTTTTTTTAAAGACAGCTGCTCCGTCAACATTTGGAAGGCACAAGTCCGTCTCCCGTGAAAAGGTGAATTCCCAGATTTTGAGACAGGCTGAGGTAGAGGGATTTTTGCACAGGGCCCGCTGGGGTTTTAGGGTGCAAAGGAGAAAAAACGGGGTGAAAAACGTTTTTGGAGGTCGAATCATGGCAACCGGAATTGATTTTCCTTGTTCGTTTGACATGTTTCGCCGCTCCGCCAAGCAGCTGTAATCAGTCGTAGCAAGTTACCGGTAGTCCTTGAATTACGACCTCAATGGAGCCCAAACGTTCCGTTCCCAAGCGAGACATTTGTCAAGTGAATTTTGCCCCGTTTTAAGTGTATCATGGCAGTGGATAACCTGGTTGTTAAGTGAATCTGGCTTCCCTATTGACTTTTCTCGACAGAAGGTCACAAAAAGGAAATCACGTGACCCCCGGGATGCAACAGTCATAAATATAAGTCAATTGCCAAGCGTCCGGATTTTGATCACCTGAACGTGGGGACGCAGCAATGGACATAAGTGTGAAAAATGGACACAAGTCACTTTTTTCAGTGCCGTTGTAGCTTCTAACAGTCCATAAATCAACTGTTGTATGTCGAAGACTACCCTGTAATGCTATTTTTCCCTTGCTGGAGCTACAGCTAACACAACCTCCATACCAAGTCCCTTCAACCAGGGCTTGTTAAATTAAAATCCAAATTACAGACGGAAGGTCTTGTTTTTGCACGGAAAGAACCCCAAAGCAGGTGTAGGAGAGGCTTTTCCTGCCATACTCCACTCTTCATATTTAAAATACGACCTGTTTTAATTGCTCTTCCATTTAAAAAGAGAGAGAGATACCTCCTGCATAAATAGCACGCAGGGGAGGATTCTAATCTCTCTTTAAGTTTGTCCATGGGACATTCGCGGATGAGATTCTACGTATATCTCGTAAATTACGTTGAAAAAGCAGCAGCTCTGTTGTGTAGGCTGACCTAAGAAGCCAAGAGCCATGTTGTACTCATGTTGTACCATGCTGAAACCAAAGACCAGAAACCCATGTTAAGGTTGTTCTTGCCGTATCTTTCTGGGGTTCGTTTCCCATTTCTGTGTGGTCCACGTAAACTTGGAGGAGTCGAATTCTACAGCACGGACAATAGGGTGGGTAGTTTTACATTTTTGCATTTTTTTTTTTTTAAATAAAAGTTGAGTTGTCACTACGGCCATCACCATTTCAACAAAATGAAGCTCAGATACTTTGGCCGCCTAATGAGAAGGAAGGACTCCCTGGAGAAGAGCCTAATGCTGGGAAAGGTGGAGGGCAAAAGAAAAAGGGGACGGCAGAGAACGAGGTGGCTGGATGGAGTCACTGAAGCAGTTGGCGTGAGCTTAAATGGACTCCAGAGGATGGTAAAGGACAGGAAGGCCTGGAGGAACGTGGTCCATGGGGGTCGCGATGGGTCGGACACGACTTCGCAACTAACAACAACAAAGTTGTCAGCTATCATTACCCACTCGTGAACGACCATTTCCTCCGAAAAACATGACGTAAGAAGGATCATTGCACGCTTAATCCTTCTGTATTTCTCAGCTTCAAGTCATCGAGACAGTTTTCCCTGGATGGGAACTCCAAATATGAACAGAAAATAAGTACTTTTTTTTCCTTCCCTTCAAATCACCTTGTAGGGTGTGTAGGGTCGGCTTGGGTAGGGGGGTGGTGGTTTGGACTAGATGACCTACAAGGTCCCTTCCGACTGTCTTAATCTGTAAAATCAGCTTGCCTTAAAACTTGGAAGATCTTGGATGGAACCTGTTGCTACGTATCTTCCCCTAACTAGATATCCCCCACCCAGATCCAAATGTATTTGTGGAAGAGAATATTTGTAGCCCCAAGGTTGAACGGTGGGGTCGTTGGGACTCTCTAGTCAGCTGTGCCCCTCCCACCTTCCACTTACACCTGGTCTGAAACGTTCTGCTCAAATTCCTCCCTCGTCATCTTTTAAAGACCCCCCGTAATCCCTTGTGGGGTGGAGTCTTGGGCAACTGAATGAAGCTAGCGGAGTGTTTTACTAGCCGGATGCCCTTCCTGTCGCCAATGCGGAGTTGTGTTCAGCAGATATATTCTCAGGGTGCCCAGAGAGAGAGAGAAAAATATCTGCCTCTACCTAGGATCGAACTCGCAGCCTCCTGATTGCGAGGCGAGAGCGCCACCTCTAGGCCACCGCGCCACTCCGCTCAAATTCCTCCCCCGAAGGACAGAAATGAAAGAGAGACCAAGCATCCCCTTTGCACTACCTTCTGTAGTTTGTGTAGCAACCAACACACCCTCCTCTGGGACCGTCGTCACCATGATCTCTCCGCCAGGTTGGCTTTGGGGGCAGAGCACCTCAGAAGCCAAGAAATCGCGGTTCTCCCAAGTTCAAGTTTACCTAAAGATCTGGAGAGATGGTGGGGAGCATTCTAGCGGGTGGAATCGAGAGTTTCGTAAAATAAGGATGTTCCAGGGTTGCAAAATCTCCATTCCCTCCTCGCTCCTGGGGAAGGATACTGTAAAATCTCCATTCCCCCCCCCACTCCTGGGGGAAAGGTATTGCAAAATCCCCATTCCCACCTCACTCCAGCGGAAGGATACCATAAAATCTCCATTCCCATCCCACTCCTGGGGGAAGGATACTGTAAAATCTCCATTCCCTCCCCACTCCTGGGGGAAGGATATTGCAAAATCCGCATTCCCACCCCACTCCAGCGGAAGGATACTGTAAAATCTCCATTCCCTCCCCACTCCTGGGGGAAGGATATTGCAAAATCTGCATTCCCACCCCACTCCAGCGGAAGGATACCGTAAAATCTCCATTCCCACCCCATTCCTGGGGGAAGGATATTGCAAAATCCCCATTCCCACCCCACTCCAGCGGAAGGATACTGTAAAATCTCCATTCCCTCCCCACTCCAGGAGAAGGATACTGCAAAATCTCCCTTCCCACCCCACTCCAGGGGAAGGTTACTGCAAAATCCCCATTTCCTCCCGATCAGCTGGGACTCGGGAGGCAGAGAATAGATGGGGGTGGGGCCAGTCAGAATTTTTACTACCGGTTCTCCGAACTACTCAAAATTTCTGCTACCAGTTCTCCAGAACTGGTCAGAACCTGCTGAAACCCACCTCTTCCCAGATCTGAAATGAGTTTACGTAAGTAGGGTTTAAAATGAGCAGTTGGGGCACAAAAGTCCCAGGTTGCCTTTTCCAATCAAGGATCAAGAATCTCTTATCTGTGGATACACGCGTGTGGTCTTTGATAAGCACCACATACAAAAAATACCACCAAACAGAGCCCATCTGCTTTGCAAATTTTGCAGCCCTGCAGAATCCACGTCACCATCTGCAGCCTTCAGCCAACTAACCAGGTTTTGCCTCACATAGGTGGCTTTATCTGCCTTATATGATTTGCAAAATCCCCTTGCTGTGAAACGGTTTAGAAAACGTTGCAAATCGCTGAACTTCGGGGGGCGTTTTATTCACACCAAACACTAAGCCAACATATCTGGGTTGGATGCGTGAGAAGATGGGCGGCCGTTGCAGGGTTCATCTCGGGAACGAAATCATGGTTTGCTACGAGAATGAGGACTGCTGGTTTGCGACGACCAAATGTAGGTTTCGTACTCAGTCCAACATGCTAGTTTACTAGCTCTGGGACATAGGGAACTAAAACCAGAATTTGCTTAAGAAAGTGATGAAGATTTGTCTCCGGGATAATCATTCCTTCAAATCATTCCTTCAAAAAACCATGGTTAAAATTAAGCTTGGCTTAGTGTTATGTGTGACTGCTGCCAGGGCTCAAACCTTGTTTTTGTATTACATATAAAAACAAGGTTGATCTACCCTGTTTCCCCGAAAATAAGACATCCCCTGATAATAGAAAATAGAAACCTAATTAAAATAGGTTTTAAAATGAGAGTTTTAAATTTGGCCCATGATTTAATTATTTTAATCTGCTGAATTTTTTTTCATTGTTTTATTATGGCTGTTCACCGCCCTGAGTCCTTCGGGAGAAGGGTGGTATATAAATTTAAAAAAGTGAAAGTGAAAAGTGAATAAGCTCAATTGGGCTTTTGAGCGCATGTGCTAAAATAAGCCTCCCCCGAAAATAAGCCCTCCCTGAAAATATTTAAACATAGAGCTGGAAATCAGGTAAGACAGCAAGAGGAGCCCCATCTTGCTCCAAGCGCCCCAAAATAATAAGACCGCCCTGAAAATAAGGCCAAGTGCTTATTTTGGGGTTCAAAAAAATATAAGACAAGGTCTTATTTTCGGGGAAACACGATATGTATCCACTTGCCAGCCATTCTTCCAGGATCATCGTAATAAAAATCCAATTTTTTAAAAAAATCTAATTTTGATTTTTCCACGCACGCAGTCCTCTTTAAAACAGAGGGGCACCCAAAGAGACCGTCAAGGAGAAGTTCCTGGACCATGACAACAATTAATCAGTGGAACAACTTCCCTCCAGAAGTTGTGCGTGCTTCATCACTGGAGGTTTTCAAGAAGAGATCGGGACAATCCGTTTGTCTGAAAATGCTACAAGGTTTCCTGGGTAGAGGGTTGGACTAGAAGACCTCCAGGGTCCCTCCCTTGAAATTATTTTATTTCAAGCCCTTTGAAATCAGGGTAGACTCCAGAGAGCATCCCGAGAAATTCAACACACGCATGTAAGCCGAGGCAAAAAGAATGCAGAAAAATCCCACCGCTTTTCGTGTTTCAAGATTTCTTTTCTCTTTTTTTTTTTATGAAAAAGAATCACACATCGTACAGCAACGAACAGAATGCAAAAAAAAAAAAAAGGGAAACAAATGAAAACGTTAAAAAAAAACAGAAAACAGCAGGGAAGGGAGGGGGGAAGGAAAAGGACACATACACACACAGAGAAAAAAACCCCTAACATGTGGCTCCTTTCCTCTCTTCGATTGTCTGCAAAAATGCTTGTGTTCCATAGAAGGCAGTGGGCAGTTAAGTGCTTTCTATTTTAACATTCGTGTCACATTGCTTTTCTTCTCCTTCGTCCTACGATACAGTCCACCGTTTTGTAAGCAATGCTGGCTCTCCTATTCCCCTGTGTTCGTTCGTTCGTTCTCTCTCTCTCTCTTTTTTTTTTCCCTGTCTCTCTTTCTCTCTCTCTCTCCTTTTTTTTTTTTTTCTCTACAGTCACAATTCCAACCGGAAATAAAAAATAAAAAGAGTCTCGAATGTCAGACCGTGTCGTTTTGCTTTTTATACTTTCCCATAATTTTTTTTTTCACAGTTTTTTTTCTTTAAAAAGTTTATATATTTATATATATTTATATATTTATACTTTATATTTATAATTAAAAAGGTAAATCCGTTTTGTGTTTTTTTGCTTTTTTTTTTTTCGTTTTTGTTCGTCCTTTCTCTCTCTCTCTCTCTCTCTTTCCTTTGTTTTCCTCCTCCATTTTTGTATTGTTAAAAGAGGTGGTTTTTGTTGTTGTTGTTGTTTTTTTTACAATACACTGGAAAAGCCTTTCGGATGTATGAAAACTGTACAGGCCCGGAGTCGCTTGCTCTAGAAACGTTGTCCACCTAAAGCTTGGAAGCTGGGAACTGGTGGACTTCAGGAGGCGACCAAGGCAGCACCATGTGGTTCTTAAAACGAAGTGGCGAAAGGATTCCGAGGGAGGGAAGCGTTCCTTTTGTACCATGGCAGAAAATAGAAAACATCTGCTCGTGTTAAGTCGGGTAGAAATCGTCTCCCCTCCGCCCTTGTAGTGCTTGAAAAATGGTACATCTGTCCCTGTCAGAACCAATTCTGGTGTCTTCTCTTGTAGTGTGTGAGTTTGGCGGGGTTTCGTAAGTGCAAAAATGCTGGCGTTGTGATGGTCGCCGTGTTGTCCTCTCTGGCCTTGCGTTGGGGGTCCACCACACCCAAGCGGTAGTTCATCTCCAAGGGGCTCTTTGTTCATCTCAAAGTAGGCAGGTGGTGGTAACACTCTTGGGGCGGAAGATGGCAGCTTGGTTACTGGATGGTCGATTAATGAGATGAGGTCTACGCA